ACGAACGAAATTTTACATACAAACATACAAACCAATACACATATAAAATTCATTACACGGTATCACGGTTTCAGACACACCCTTTTATATATAAATCTTCATACAAAGACGTTCTTATAACCAAACATTTTTATATACAAACCCTTTTATACACAAACACCTTTACACAAACATACTTTCACACACAAACCCTATTATATACAAACACTTGTACAAAAACACTTTTACACACAAGCCCTTTGACATACAAACGCAATTTCATACAGACCCTCTTATACACAGATCCTTTTACACACAAAAATTTTAACACACAGACCCTTTTACACACAAACATCTTTACACAAACATTCTTTTACACACAGACCCTATTATATACAAACCCTTGTACAGAGACATTTTTACACACAGACCCTTTGACATACAAACGCTGTTTCACACAGACCCTTTTACATACAGACCCTTTTACACACAAAAATTTTAACACACAGACCCTTTTACACACAAACATCTTTACACAAAGGCGCTTTTACACACGAACCTTTTACCCACAAACATCTCTTCACAAAAACACTTTTACACACAAACAACTTCACACAGAGACACTTTTACATACAAAACCTTTTACACACAGACCCTTTTATGCACAATCACCTTTAGGCACAGACACTTTTACATACAGATCCGTTTACACACAGACCTTTTCACACACAGACGCCTTTACACACAAACATTTTTTTCACACAAAACCTTTTACACACAAACATCTTTACTTAGAAATGCTTTTACTCACAAACCCAATTTTTTTTTTCTAAACAAACCCTTTTACATACCAGATATTTTTACAAACAAACCCTTTTACACACAGACCCTTTTACACACACACACTTTTTCACATTATTGTTCTTATTGTTTCTGCATTTTTTTTTACAAGCATTTCAAAAGCCAAACATTTATTTTTAAAGACCAAAAATAATCAATTCGATGGTATTTTCGTGTTTTTTAAAACGTCTCGGAACAAAAAACACCATAAATACCGTATTTGTTTACGCCTTACAAACCCAAAACCACGGTATTTACGGTATTTTTTGGTAGCAAAAATCACGGTATTTATAATGTTTTGTGGCCGGTATCTAATAAAAACAAAAGTATTTACGTAATTTTCCACATATTGTAAGAAATATTTTTTTCATGCCAAAAACCCAAAAACACTATAAATTACAATAATTTAATTTTTAATAACCAATAAAAAATGTCAAAAACCAACCAAAAATCTCCAAATTAAAATTTGCTTTTCTTTCAAACTTAAAAAAATAGAAAACAATAATTCATTTTTAAAATTCACCTTCGATTAACTTCCATAATATAATTCATATATATTTTGTTATATTTAGTAATATAAATTAAATATCCCCCCTATTAATAAATATAACGGCAAATTTTAAATATTAAAAATCTATTTATTATTAAGAAATCCTATTTATAAAATTCAATCCTTAATAATAATAATTATATTTTCCAATTTAAAAATTAATTAAAAAAATATATATAAAAATTTCTTTAAATAATATAATTAAAATATTATTAAAAATTAAATTTCGATTTTTTTCTTAATATTAAATTAAAATCCTTAATAATAAAAATTATTGTTTTTTTCCAATTTCAAAATTAATTATTTTTTTAAATATAATATAATTAAAATAATATTAAAAATTAAATTTCGAAATTTCCCCCTAATATTAAATTAAAACCCTTAATAATAAAAACTATTTTTCCAATTTTAAAATGGGGGTAATTATAAGTTCTCTTGACGCCAGTGTGGCACAGCCACCACGGCAGGAGGTTTATTTTTAATCAAATTTGTTATTTTTCTTCAATTATATTTGTGGAATCAATGAACCAGGAATCGATAATACGATTCCCGCAACCTTAGCAGAGCCGCAACTGAACAGTTGAGCGAGCTCTAAAAATTCGCCTTTATGTGGAAAACATGGGGATGGATCAAACACGTTGGCTTCCTAAAAACCTTGGCCGGGGACAAACTTTGGATGACCGGCAAAGCCCTGGTTTGCCTGTTTTTCTACGCTTCATCCATTTTTACCTTTCAGTAGCCATGGTGAGCTGGTTGCCATATGCGTATATCCAGCTAAGAAAATGTAAACATCATTGACACTGAAATTGGATAAGGTAGAAATTCCCAGTTGTTGTTGGTTTATCAAGTTTAATCCATTTCTTTACAGATTAGATTCACATATTTGATTATAGGAAATCAACGTTGTTGTTGCTTTAAACATGTGAAAAATCAGCATGTTTGCTGTGGCACTGTGCCACCGGCATCGCTACCGAGGCACAACCAATGCCAGCGACAGACTTCGGAGGCCAACATCCGGCTCCGTGACGGAATCCTTGGGGCGAATCTGGTGGATCCCCAGTAAATCCCATCCTTCAGTCATTACCCTCTGATAAACTAACATAGCTATTGAACATGGCCATTTATAGTGGATTTTCCCATTGAAAATGGAGATTTCTCATATTTTTTTGTATGTTTACCAGAGGGGAAACCCCCATTTTTAGTGGGGATCTATTCACCAAAATGATCATAGGATCATGGGAACCTAAAATATCCATCAGATCTAATTTATGATAATTTTCCCTTCTGAAATCCAAAACGGTTCATTCGGTTAGTTCCCTTCAAAATCATTTTTTTTTGGATTACCGATGGATGTATCATTCATGCTAGTCATGAGTTGGTTTACAATCTTCATCAACTACAAACTTTAGACTTTCGATATCTACCGTAAACCCTAGTTGTTGGAGATATAAAACGACTTCCCCCCTCCTGTGGCCCTAAGATGGATGTGGAAACACCACCAGTTGCAGATCATTTTCCTGTGGAAAACCAATCGAACTGCTAGCGGTAACCCTAGGGGAAGCCTTCACCAAACACGATGTTTTATGAGCGGTTAAACCATCGACACAACTTGGCTTTAGAGCGGATTTAAACATCAATGATATAGGAGAAACTCATGATTCACCTGTGAAGTTAGGGTTTATCCTCTATTCAGTTCTATATATATATACATAAATTGCATTGCATTGCATTACATTATCATTACCATTTACCATTTACATTACATTGCATATATATATATGTATAAACATATACATATACATATATATACATGCATACATAACATGACATTACAGTACAGTACATTACATTATTCAATTACATTATTACATTACATTACGTTACATTACATACATTACATTACATACATATATACACACACATACCTATATTATATATATAGCACAGCCCAGAAAGACTCAGAACACATTAATCATTAACACATGTATATAAATATACCAACACTATCTAGAAATAATAAATTAGTTGTTTATATCCGTTTTGTCAGTTGCTATAGGTTTTCTGGTGAAACACAATCGTACATTTTGTTGATAAAACATCATAACAAGGGAATACTATATTGAACCTCATTCCTAATATGACAACATCACTTTAAAATAACACCAACTAGAAGCCACTCGCAAGATTCTCAAACGCAACGGCCATGTATTTCCGAGGTTTCCAAAATGAAACCTAGGCATGGGATGAACACAACCTCTCCAGAGCTTGGTCCCCATGCCGTGCACCGGTTGGTGGTTGAGCCACCCCCGCTGATAAATATCTTTGTCATCTCTTGTCATTGGGGTCATCATCCCATGTCTATGTTTGAAAATAAGCAGAGCTGTCTTCAAAATCCCTTTGTCATGGGTTTTGATCATTCCCAATGTGGGGGTACCGTCTGGTAAACTAACATAACAATGGAAAATCACCATGTTCAATGGGAAAATCCACTATAAATGGCCTGTTTACCAGAGGGTAATATATGGTAAGATGCGAAGATCATCAAATGTTTGCACCAGCCACGTTCAGGACCTGAGGCGCCCGACCCTGGCAGGACAATTGTATCCACCCTGCAGAATAATGGCGTAGAACCTCGCAGGACCGAGGGGGTCAATTGATGGTGGCTTAGGTACCCGGGGTACGCCTCTTCAAACTTTCTTTCTCAGGTATCAATGGATTGGTTTAAGGGAAATTTGTACAGGAAACCCTGGTTTTTCCCAGCAAATATGGGGGTTTCCTGTAGATTTTCCCTTAAACCAATCCAATGAAAAGCCCCTTTTTCATGGTAAAAACCATGGTTTCCCGTTAAGATGTTCCCTTAAACCCATCCAATGGTCACGTCTGGGGGTTGATGACAGCTGAGGACCAAACGCAAAGGTCGCATACCTGGGCCAAAGGTATCCCAGCAAAACTTTGATAAGACGTATACATAATATTATATACATATGTGATCATATGTGTGTATAACATAACATAACATAATATAATATAATAGAATATAATATATATATATATACTGTACATTATCTCTAATAGATATATAGATATATGTATCTGGGGATATGCGTATATATATATATGGGTATATGATGTATATGTATATATTATATATATATGTGTGTGCGTGTGTGTATTTAAACATATACATATACATGTATAAATGAAATACACGCATCATAACAAATGCGAGCAAACACCTCACAAATCATAATACAACCTACAATTTTTATTGGAAGCTGATTGTTCTATTGTGTATCGCACATCTTTTAGGTTTGAACAAACGCCTGGAACTTGTGATTCCAAATAGTTCGCAGTGGTGTTAAGTGGCTCTCCACATCTTAAAAGTTGACCCACAGCCATTGGGCCAAAAGAAATAAAAGATAGAAAAGAAAAATCTCGAGATCTCCCAGCTCCATTGCCAGGTGGCAGTAAGTTGCTGGCATTGTCTAAGCTGCCAGACACCAGGATTGCTAAACCTCGGCACAAAGGTGGCCTTTTTAGGCCAAGGGGGAATGCGCAATGTCACAACCTGCATAGTTTGTCATGTCACGGAAAAGTTACAAGATTTTTATATCTTGAAGGAAGAAAGTTGTAGGACACAAGTTTGGATATGTTTGGATGGTGGCTATCTCTGAATTCTTGCCTTTGTTACATTTCGAGCCAGTCAACAGCAAAACCATGCAAAACCATGCAAAAGCCACAAACTGAATGCGATGGGATATGGCGAACAAGAGTCCCAGCAGGACCAACTATTTTCTTCTGCAAAGGGTAGCAGCGCTCGTAGCTTCGCTTACAAAAGGTCCGGAGAGCTTACAGCTGCAGTGGTGCCACAGCTGCTCCATTCTGTCCGGAACGATCCACTCTGAGGGATCGGAAACAATCAATCTATGCACAGCTGGTCAGGACTCTCATAGCCTGCGCCTGCAGGGAGGTTTCAAGTTGGAGAGGTGCCGTGCTCCAGAGTGGTTGGGTGAAAAGTTCAAATTAACCTTCGTTGGGGATGAGTGGCACTTGGAGGGACCCAATTCCCTCAGCTCGGACCTCAGAGTGCAAGATACATCTTGGCCCGGTCGTAGAGGACCTCGGCATTGGCGTGATGAACCGTGGCCGTCGTGTGGTAAACCAAAACCGTAGCCTGGAAAACTGGAAGACCTTTCCCCCAAATCAAACGATGATAGTTCCAGACTCCAGAGCATTTCACATGTCAAAATCGGAACTGGATCCATGAACCTGGAACAATCTTGAACATCTTCGAGGTAGACTGAAAATATACCAATACAAAATAAAAATAGAAAGTGAAGATTTAAATGCAATCAGTTTGTGGTACCTATACCCTCTGCTACTTTAACATAGCTATGGAAAACCACCATTTTTATAGGATATTATAAGTGAATCATCTATAAATGGACAATTTTCAAAAGCTACTTTAAACTATCAGAGCGGTTATACTTCTATTAAAATATCGAATAATTCTCCATTACAGGTAAATCCTAAATTCCGTGAATAATCTCCATTTATAGAATATTTTCCCATAATTACACCTTCATGATATCCCCATATTCCATAAAAATAGGGTTAAAACACCACTTAACCCATTAAATCCCATGAAATCTCCATTTATAAATGATTTTCCCATGATTTTCCCATGAAGACTTCCCTTTTTTAATCACCATTCACCAACCATTCACCACCGGCATCTGCCCGTCACGGAGCTGAGTTCCCCAGACCAAGACCAGGGCTCCGCCGACGCTGCGCACCACGTTGGCCAAGAATCCCTTGTAGAGACCCGCCAGCAGACCTGGAGAGAACTGACGAGAAAACTCGTAGGAAAAACGGAGGATCCCTATGGGATTTCTATGGGATATGGATGTTTAATGAGGATATCATGAGGATATCATGAGGATATCATGAGGATTATCATGGTCATTTGTGGTGAGTTCATAGGATTTAGTGAATTTAGTGGAGAAATCATGATTTAGTGGGATTTTTTGCCCACTAAGTGGGATTAAGTCCCACAAAATTTTCCAATAAGCATTATTTGATCCCAGTAGTCATCAATTTAATGAAACTATAGTGGGATATAGTGGGATGATTTGATTTAATGGGCATTAAACTCTTACCAATGGAATATTAGTGCTCTGTTTTATGGAATATTACCCCTGTGGAAGTCAAAACAAACATGGCAACCATGTCTGAAAATAGCATACCGAAACTCATGGGCAAAGAACATCCTCATTTTCCCTATGCATTATTTAATGTCCATTTAAAACATTTGATGGCATGCCCCATTGCCAAATAAAGGCAGATCCGAAAAAGAGGTTTCTTCAAAGAAGAGATGTTTGAAGGGGTAAACAAAGGATTATAAACGTATGCTAAAAGGCTCAAGAAAGTATATAGTAATTAAGCACGTACAGTACCTCATTTTACTTGCTAGAAATCTCCGACAGTTGAGCCAAATTGCATCACTGAAAAATGAACAGAATTGACAAATCGAAAACTTGTTACAATTCATTAGTCTATAGGATTGCTGACCCAGAAAACCTCATGTTTGGCATTTGGCTTTAGCCCGGATCCACACCGTGCAGCTCAAAACGTGCACTTGAACAGTGCTGTTTTAAAAATTGCTGGCACGTTCTGAGCATTTGACCCTCCTCAGCCGCGATCTTCTTGAAACAGTCGACAGTGCCCTTGTAGATGTGCTCCTACACATCGCTGGGATTATCCAAGCAGACTGAAACCCTACAGAATCAAGTGGTCCCAAGCCGAAAGTTTGGGTTTGAAGTTTGAAGTTTGAAAGCATAATACTGAGCTGAGCCCTGAAGCCGTGCAGCAAACGGGTGCAATAACAAATAGCAGGCCATGAATTGATGCAACATTTGCGGGAAATACCCCCAAGGAGGGAAAAAAAACGATCCTATATAACATGAATCACATACCCCTAATTTCAAGGATCAAAATTCAAGAATAAATCCACTACCGTTCACGGGGGTTTCTTCTGAGGGTATTCAACATTAAGGGGGGAAGGGATTCCTAACCATATTTTGTGCCATAAGCCATAATATAGGGGGTTTCACGGGGTTCCTACCCCTAAATATAGGCTTTTGCAATTCACATGGCAGGAAGCCCGTCATTTTGGGTCTGGTTTCCAAGCTTTCCCAACCCCCATCCCCATCCCCCGGGGGCCCCGCGACCTCCACGGGTTTCTCCGACTGCATCTGCAGGCGTCGTCGCACCGTGTCGAAGGGATAGGTGGCGCCTGCTCCGATGGTGATGGCCGTCTGGGCGGCGCCGAAGGTACTGACGGCGCCCATCAGTCCTGGGTCCTTCTTCCAGGGGTTCAAGCCTGGCACCCGCCCGTTTTATGCCAAGGATGATGAAACATACATTTTATGCTGTTGCACGTGTTTTCACATATATATATATATATATATCATACCTAGAACTTCCAAAACCTCTGAAATGGTCAGTCCATTTTATCAAAACAATAGTTCCCCTGTAAAAAAAAAGTTTTTTTTCCAATAAACCTTCATTTTGTGTGCGCACTTGCCTTGCCAAGCCTGTGAGGTCATATATTGATTTGCTTAGTTTGCAGACACAGCCACCGACGATGAAATGAAGTGAACATCAAAGATCAAGACGAACAAGTAACAACCCATGCCAGCTGATATCAATAAAAGGGCAGGGTCAGGGCTCAGGGTTTGCGCAGAAAGCGGCTGCTATTGGAACTTGAAAACCAAAGTGGATTCGAACTTTGGATCTTCGAGTGGGAAAATGCAGTCGTTTATTGCTATTCAACCCTTTTTGTTTCGAAGCTGGGAGATGGCAATTTGGACATCGAGTGTGCGATTTTCAAAATGTGTTAATTTCTATGCCCCTGGGATGGTGAAAACATGGGGACTCCAACATTTTCCCGTATGAAAAACCCGTACTAAACCTGTATCTTGAAAATTTGATCAAAACAATGCAAAAACCCAGTCTTTTAAACATCCGTAATTAACGGGAGAAAAAAAACGTAATTAACCCGTGGAAACCCGTAAAACAACATGTGCTTTTTTGGGTCTGGGTGGTAGGCTGCCATAATGGGTTTATTAGGCCCACTGATAGTCTTTGCGCGGACAAATTTCATGAGAAAAACGGGTCGCTTGCTCATCGTGAATAATTTTTGCAAATAATTATGCGATTCAAGTTGTTGCGTATATCCCTGGTATGCAAAACATGACATTGTTTGTCGGAGCATTTTAGTCGAAGGAAAGTGGTAGCGCATGCATTTGAGAAATGTAGGAATAGTTTCCCAACAAAGTCTCTAGCCCGGCACGGCACAAGACACTGGCAGCATGCTATAACTACATTGTTGAATTTTGAGCATCAAAGGCAAGACTTCATGGGAAAGTGCACTAATGGAAATTTGGGAAATTCAAAAAACCTGGGTTTTTGGATAAAACCATGTCTTTTTCCGATGTACCAGCCCGTTTAGCGGTTTCAGTCTCATATACATAATTATATAATATATACAAGCAGCCACATCACCCACCCACACACACAATAATTATATAATATGTATATAAATATAAATATGCACAGGTGTGTGTATCACCTTTACTTTGAATATCATCGCACATACATTTTTATTATTATTAAGTTATGTTGTACTTTATATTTTAGACTTTAGATGCATATTATATGCATATATAAAATGATGGTATTAATTTAGATCTGGATTTGATAGAAGGTAAATTAATACGGGGTGTGAGTTTTAGATGTGACCAATATGTTTTCATCACAATGGCTCAAAACCATTTAGGTCATTGCAGCACCCTTGGGAACAGAAAACAAACATGTCATTTGAAAACTAGCCAAACAATGAAATGAACATAAATATATAAATGAACAATTTCTGATGGACCCTGAATCCTCCCAGCCCCGCCTGTGATGGTGTCAAACGTGCCAAGCTGCAAGCCGCGGTACCCAATGATGCCGCAGACCGACACACCGAAACCCGTGTACAAGGCGAAGAATCCACCTGGCTTTGTCGGTAAAGAAACCGGCCTAGGTTTTCTTAGTTACAGTCCCTGGTACCGTACCCGTTGGTACGTGGCTCTTCGGGGCTGTTTACTTTTGAATACTTATTAGTTAATCATTCGCCACCTTTGGGACCCCACCTGGTCCCTTGGCCGTCTTCACGATGCAGTCGCCCAATCCACTGAAGGTGGCCTTGCCGGAACCCACATCGGATGCCAAGCGGGTTCGGGCGTAGTCCAGGGGGTACACGATGGTCATGCTGGCGGCTGCAGCCAAACCACCAGACACCAAGTTGGCACCGAAGAACTTCCAAAACTCCTCAGCTCAGCCAAGATGTGGTCGCTGAAAACAACTTCTCCCTGGGAATCAGAATGATGAACCGGGGCCTTGAAGCTTGGTGCTTCGGCACTCCAAAAATCCAAAGATTATATATATATATATATGTATGCATATGTGTGTGTAGCTTAAACCACCAGAGAACTACGTCTTTGGCGGTGCAAGTCCTATCATGCCTTTGAAAAGTTGGTCCCATCCTGGCCCTATCCTTGAATTAGCTTCACAAATCATATGACGCCACTAAGAGCACATCTGCTGGAAGCTTCTATCCCAGCTGTTCGAGTCTTCCCAGGCGTCTTCGGATGGAAATACAAAAAACTCTAGACCCGTACATCGCGGTTTGCTTGCTTCTACCATCCCGGATATTTTTCCAGCAAGCTTCGGTCTTGGGATTGTACTTTGGAAACATCTTCTTGAAGGTGTCCTTGAAGGCCAAGTTGAAGGCTTGGGTGGGGAAGTAGCGCAAGCAGTTGGTGAAGTTGCCATCCCAGAAGCGATACCTGGCAGCTGTCGGGTCAGGGTCAAAGTAACAGTATATATTGCAACTAGAGTCCCCAACTGCTTCCGCAAAATAGGAATTGTTTGTCAAATCCCAACTATCCCCAGGATCTCCCCATGAGTGTTGCTAAAATCCCTGCATTTTTTTCCGGAAAACGACAACATCCGAGGCACAACCCCTGCTCCTTCAGAATGCGCTGAGCACAATCCACCATCCCCGTGTAACGAGGCACCTCTCCACTGCGGATCCTTGGGTTCGAGTGGAGTGGTTTACGGGATCTTTTTACAAGAAAACCCTACCCTCTGGTAATTTAACATGGCTATGGAATTTTCAATAGCTATGTTAAATTGCCAGAGGGTATATTTGATGGCAAAAACCATCCCTTAAAAGCCAATCCAATGATGGATTGGTTCCCTAATGCTTGGATATGTTCGCCACTTTTCGGTGAATAATGCCAAGTTCGTATTAATAAACCCCATCCTCTACCCCCCCTCTAGAAGGTAAGAGTCCCCCAAAATAAAAAAAACACAGGGTTTGTCATACATAAAAAACAACAAACCTGCCTGCCAAAACATTATTTTGTGAAACCATTAAAAACAATTAATTAATTAATTAATTAATACATATATATATATATCTTAAAAAATAAGTATTATTGCCCAGTTATAAGTTGGTTGATAACCCTAACCAAATACGTATAATCATTTGCGTATCATACACCATGGTTATCTATGGTTATTATAGTCATAAACCAACTTAGCTAACTAGTTAGGGACCCCATGGAAAAACACAAAACATTTGACAGACAATTCAAGAGGATGATTCGTTGTGAGCTGATGCAATAGGGGAAATTCAACCATCGGACCATCGACTCGGCCAATCCTTTTGGATCGGATCTTGGGCCGGATCATGGCCGGATCGCTCGGACGAAACATCTTCCCATGAATTAGTGAAGTTATATCATGGTTGATTATCCAGCTATCCTCATTAAAAAAAAAAAAAACGCATTCCCGAAAAATCATCATCATCATCATCATCATCTAGACTTCAACCGCACCAACGTCTCCGGTTGACACCAAGGATCTTGGGATTCGCATCCTGGGTCTGGACCACCAATTTCACTCGCTCAATGGGGGCAGTCAATGTCTTGGACACCGCACCCGACACACCACCCAGGAGAAAATCCACCATGAAAGCTTGCCTCAAGGGACGGCATGATCCAGGATACAATAAGTCATGGAATACATGGGATTTTGACCATGTACATCATGTACATTTTTGGTGGGATATTTACGTAATTTATATTGATTCATGCTATTTTGTTGGACGGAAGGCTATACTTCAAAAGAGGTGGTAAAAAAAACCCAAAGGTTTTTGGCATAGCATCACCTTCATTGAATCCAAGTTGCATGTTGCTGTCCTTTGCCATTGGTCCAAAGCTGGGGACGAGATGCGCCAAGACGCGACGAGCCACGGAAACAACTTGAGCTCAGTTCCACTCCACGGACGAAGCAGTTTTGGTCACAATCACTCTCATGCATCCGCATCCATCTGTCTTTCCGACATGTCTTCCAAAATAAATCAACACGAACCAGACATCAATCAACAATGAGCCATGACATTGATGAACATTTTATGTATGATCCACACATGGATCATAATCATAATCATCATAATCATCATAATTCATATATCACCAAACATTTATCAAACATTAATGTAACATTTATTGATCAACGATCCAAAATGAATCATCGGCCAAGGGGCTGAGGAATCCTGCCACGTTCCCCGCCTTGCCCAAGCTGCGCGCCAGCACTTTGCCTCCGCCAAAAGGAGCGAAGAATGGATGAAGGAAACGTGTCACAGGACACCATGGGTTTTTAGCCCCAAAATCAATGGCTTATATATGGCTTATATACAACCAAATATTTGAGATAATGTGAACCGAAGATTGATAAAGCACCAGTTTGTTTATCGAGATGGTACGGATCTTCATAGGAAGTTATCACTATCTTGGGGGCCACCTCCCTATTCAATAGTCACGTGTTATTAATCCGGGGCTGATATTCTATGATTTTAGGACATCATATGAAATCATGAAAAACTTAAAGTTGGTTATGTGGCCAGAAACAGCCTGCGCGAGTCAAGGCATCATCTAGTTTACACAGGAAAACCAGTGGTCTTACAATTCAAATACCAGACATGCTCGTGAGATCATCAAATGTCAACGAAGTGTCCATCTGCAACTGGATAAGTTCTTCTGGATTTTCCGATATGTTTCCAAATCTTCCGATTCTTCCCAAGTTTTTCCAGGTTCTTCCCATTTTTCCAAAATTTGGATTACAATCCCATATGCTCCATGTATGGAATATTTACTTACATTTACCACCAAAATGGCCCAAATGTAGGTAAATATTCCACACATGGAGCATATGGGAATTACAAGTTCTAAACAGCATCCCAAGTGCAACCCTTCTTCCCTGATCGTCGGCACCATCGAGTCGGCCCAAGGACAAGAGGTTGAGGGATGTGATGACCAGACCTGGGGACATGGGATAATCATCGACAAACCCGCTATAAATAGATCTTTTTAATGGGAAAATCACCTATGAATGGCGGATTTTACATTGCCATGTTTGATTACCAGAGAGTATAGTGGGGACATGGCGGATACATACTGGGATATATATATATATAAGTAAAATCAGGAACCAAACACATGGCTGTCTAATTCATGTTAATGGTGTATCATCATCAACCATTTTATTGGGATTTGCTTTTTGGAATAGAACCAACCATGTTTGGGTGGTGATAGAACGGATACACAACAATGGAATATAACTACAAGATTGTTGGCTCATGTTGGATAATCATCAATCTAGCTATTTTTATGAGATATCTACTAGATTGTACTAGGAACTCTATATATATATCATATATCTAATATGTGGGAAATCGTCATCATTTGCAAGTGTGGATTATATATTATACACCCTGCCGTAAATCTAACACACCGGTTCCAAATCTCCTCCCCTGAGCTTCCGCACCAACGATGCCTCCGATGAGCACCGGACTGGCGGGGAACGCCACACTGACCTGTGCAAGTGACTAGGCTATTCGGGCTGCCCTATGTGGACCCATTTGTGACCCAAAAACCAGCGAAAGTGGGTTTATAAGAAAAACACATCAAGATATAGAAACGGTTGCTGAAGTTCCAAATATAGAATCAACAAAATAGAAAACTGCAACCAGTCGGGGGATGTGGATTCATCCCGGTACATGCAGCTGTGGAAAAGATGGAAGCCTGAACGTGGCCATGTTTCAACAGGAGCATCACCTTCCAGACTCATTACTTTAAGCAGCTTCCATCAACCAACCGGGCTTGAGCAACTAAAGGAAACATCATTTTATGAAGCCGTAAAAAACATGCCCTGAAAAACAGAAAAAACACAAGCATAGTTACAAACAAATACAGAATGACAATAGTAATTGTATGTAATAGCAATAATAACAATAACCTATCTTCAAATTCAATCAAAGATAAATGTGTTTACAATAATATGAGGTTACTTTAAGAGTATAAATCTATATCTTCAAATCTATGTGTTTACGGTACTTTTATGTACTTTTACCATCTAACACGGCCATTTAACATTGAGCCCAGCCGCTGGGTCGCTGAAGGGGTCCAGTTGCTCGGTGGCCGAGGGCCTCGGAAAATGCGACATGCCATGGTAGATGGTATATCATACCCTCCGGTCAATTACTATTTGATGGTTGGGAAACTCCATTGAATAGGGAATATATAGGGAATATGAATACCCCTAGCTCCTTAGCTCCCTCCTAACCACTGGATAGATTATGTAACAACATAGACCCTGAACATGTCTGAACATCACAAATTTTGAGTAGAAATTCATCTTCCAACCCCTATCTGCCAGGGTCTATGTTAATTTACTGGAGGGTATATGTATATGTTGTTTCCATTGTTGTTGATGGTTTAAGCGGGGAAAATAGATGAAAGATGGGACATGAAACATATTTTAAAAAGCACTAACCAAGCATCTCTATAAACCTGTACGTCATTGCAAATCATCAAAAAATCACCCATCGTTTGCCAAGATGTTCATGTCATTCCAACAGTGCCCAGGTTCCACTGCTGTGTGGATTGTCATCTTACCAGTTCCATGGATCATACCCATAAACGTGGCCATAACCTGTAGGTAAAGCCACCCACCCATGTTTAACAAATCTGCAACCTGGCAGGTTAAAACTCATGTATGAAAAATCCCACGGTTTCTAGATCATACCATATCCTCCGGAAACCGTGGATTTCCCACAAGATCTGCTGTAGCATTCTGGAGGGCCTTCCGGTTTGAGAAAAAGTGCCCCAAAGTTTCATATGGATGACTATCATGTTCCCATCAGCGCCATTTTGCGCTATACCCGGTATACCCCACATCTCCAGCCCCCACACCGCCACCGAGCCCCACAAGGCATCCAACTCTCCCAGCAAGGGCCGTAAGACCAACTTCAAGGCCTTAGAATTTCTTGGAGGCCGTGGGGCCATGATCCAAGGCCCATCCCACGAATCATAACTGAGTTCACAACTGTTATAACTGGAGCCCCTAGGCTATACTGAAACTGGGCTGTACTAACCTGGTGGGAACCACCAAGTAAGGTGATTGGACATAGTGTTTTTTCTATAACACGTGTTGGTTGGTGCCAACTATTGCTTGGCATTATAACCGCCCCATTAATGGCTTTAGCACGGAAAATATGTGCTGGTTTGTGCAAGAATGGTGTGGGTGTGCTCCCAAATTTGATGGCTTAGACATGTCAAGATTCTTAAAACCATCATTTTCTATTGGCATTTTTCCATGTATATACCCCGTGTTCAAACACAGCCAGTTACCAATACATCCAGTTGGTGGATCACCCCATTGACCCAGGACTTGGAGAAAATGATGCATTTTTCTCTTGGGAGAGTTAGATAATATGTAGCTAGGATATGCTTGGGCACAGAGCAGAGAACCCTGAAAACAAAGTAAGGTCACCAGGAATATGTGCAGCAAATCAACAGCTCCCTGCAAGTTGCCTGCAAGGCTGTGGATTTCTAGGTGCCAGACCAAAGGCAAAATCTGGTAATTGAGGCTGATCTGATTCTCCTGAAATCGGGACAAAGCAAGCGATTAGACGAACACGCAGGACTTCTGATATAGATTATATGATGATGTCACTTCACTTGGAAGTCGCTAGATCTAAGGTTATCCACTACTAAATCCATCTTGGGATCAGCAAATCATTGGGCACATACCGGGTTCTTCAAAAAAAACAGCCATGCCATCGACCAAAAAGTTTCATCATCCACCGGAAGCCCCCGGACCCCCTGTCTCAATGTTGTTTACCATCGCTTCTCAATGGCCGGAGCAAGAATGGCCGTTTTTTTTTGAAGGCTCAGCCAAGCACTGCTGTCACGCAACATTGAAATTGGGGGACCAGGGGTGTCTAACTCTCCTCGCCAGACTTCAAGTTGGTTGGTTGCTTTTTTTGAAGAACCCGGTATGAGGGTTGCTTCCCACCCGGTGCAAAGCATTCACCCGAACTCGGTTGAACCAGTTTTGCCGGTTAAATCTCATGATCTGCTGGGCGGGGTCAAATGCGGGCAGTATCAAATGCACAGTTTCTTTGATCGATATTCATGAACATATGTAAACCATTAGCCCCCAAGGAATAATCCAGGTGGATCTTCCCAAACTGTGCATGAACCAATTAAGAAGAATCACCTTTAGCAAATCTAGTTTCATCCCAAAGCAGGCCCATTGCACTGCAAGGCTATTGAAAACGCAACTTGGCCAGTCATTGTGTTGCAAGCAGAGTTCGCCTTGGGGTACCGCATTTCAGGTCGCCTCCGAAAAACGTGCCCAGTTCACCTTCTACCCCTTGGGGGATTCCCAGTTAAAATGCGAACTGCGCAAAACTGCATTGAACATAACAGAGAATGAACGTATTTCACACACCTTTTGCCAGTCTGTTTGGTTGTACTTGATTTGTTACAGAATGCATGTTTGTGCTGGTGAACCCCTTGTTTTGGCAGGAGGAAGGTTTTACCTCCATTAAAACCCGATTAAACACCATTAAACCACAATAAAATCCCATTCACTCCCCATTTTAGTTGGTGATGTCAGCATATTTCCCAGCTTTCCCAAGCCCCACCCGTCGTTGCGTCACCGGTCACGTCTCCTGGGAACCGATCAGTAGACCAATCAACATCAGGAGTGCTGAGGCCTGGGGCCGAGGACGTTCGGCGTAAACATTTTAAAGACTCCCGTATATATATATATATATATGTGTGTGTGTATATACAGACAGAGATAGATAGATAGATAGATAGATAGATAGATATTTCTGATCACAAGCCGACAAGCCGAAGTTAACCTTTGCTAGTCAAGGTGATTCTTTTTACACACACATATGCAAAAGAGTGTGAACTATAGTTAAGCCGTACTAAATATGACTAATCATGATAAATTTATACTAATTTACTTACTGTATATCAATTTGACTAATTGACTTTTGCTCAGAATGGCCGGGTACAGCACTTTAGCACATGGTTACACAGGACCAGTTCACCTTCACAGAAGAAAACAACTGAAGAAAACACAACAAAAATTGAAGCTGAACCTCAGAACTCAGATGAAAGTCAAAGCTCACTTTATACAAACAACGAACAAAAGATGATGATAGATGGTTAGTTCATACCCATGTTTCCATTCATATCCCATTTGCCACCATTTTTTAATTGTTAGTTTATTGTTCTCGCTGAAATCATCTTAAATCCCCTTTTTGATGGGTTAAACCCTAATTTTCCAGTTGTTTTCACACATTTTTTCAAACTTAAACCATGGTGAATTGGTGCTTGGTCCACTGATTTTCACACAGCTTGCAGGACTAAGGTGGCCACAGCGTAGCCCGCAAGGCCTCCACTGTAGGGGGGCAGCATTGGTGAACCTTAAAAGAGGTGGAATTTATGGATGTTCATCAATTCATCCCCGAAAAAGATCACATAATTTTTGACAACCCCCCATATCCTCAAACGTTCATGTTTCATATTTCTTCTTACTTCTACATGGTGCCACCACCAAATTTGTTGGCAAACTCCCCAGCTTTCGTTGGTTTCACCTCATTTGAAGGTGAGAAAAACATTTCACAAGCACTGCTTATGAACTCAGCATCTCAAAACAGGGGTTAACAAACACTGTTTATTGGTCATATTCCTCTTTTATGCTCATATCTTTTAATCCCACATGATTGATCATTTTTGCATATAACAAACATAGTACAACCAGCAACATGCTATGAATAATTGCGAGCGTGACCCTCCAGCTAATCAACAACTAGATATCATACATACAACTAATTAATCATAGAATTAGTCACAGATAGAGATATTTTCCATCTAGAACTATAGTCATCCTGGAGTAGACAAAATATGGAAAATCCAAATAGATACTGGTTGGTGGTTGACCTACCCCTCTGAAAAATATGAAAGTCCGTTGGGATGATGACATTCCCATATATTTTAAACAATAAAAAATGTTTGAAACCACCACACAGGATATTCTACAACAAATAGCTAACTGGTGGTTTCACCCCCCTGAAACATATTAGTCAGATTGGATCATCATCCCAACTATTGGGGGAAATAAAAATCATGTTCCAAACAACCAACCAGTATTAGTCGATATAATCACGGATAGTGGATATTTATAGATAATTAATGACCTAAATGCAACTAACATGGATATATCATGGATAGAGAGATCTTTTCCAGATAGAACCAGCACCTGCGGCCAGCGACATGGACAAATTGGCGTCCTCATTGGGTACCTGCTCGGGGGAAACGGATTTTTTGCCATGGAAAGTCAGGGAAAATCCACCATTTTTTGATATTGTTTATAATTCATCTATCATCTGTAAATGTGGGTCATTATCTTAGTTTACAGGATGGTGCAAACTGAAGTGGCAAATCACCATCACGTATTCATTATTTTCAGGGAAACACCGGATTACCCGAATGTTTCATTACTGCCATATGCGTGGTTAAATCCCTATGTTTGACAGCTAATTTAATCCCAATCTCTATTGTTGCTGGCTAAATCCCAGTTGTTTGCTGGCTTTTGATCCCAATTTCTGAAAGTTACATCAGAATACTTGTGAACCTTTCATCTATATATATATATGTGTGTGTGTGTATATCTATGTATAAATACAATCCCACCGGATGTATTTCCCCAGCAAGACAAACCCAAATGATCTACGGTTCATCGCCCTTCGCGCTGGGCCGCCGCGGCAATGGATTGCTGTCGGGTGATGGCGCCAAAACCTGTGAAGTGGAGATCTGAAGCCGAGTGGGATGTAGTTTTAATGGTTTTTGCAGATAACCTGGTTGGTGGTTTTAACCATTTTGAAAAATATGATTCGTCAATGGGAAGGATGACATCCCAGATATGAAATGGTCAATAAAAAATCTTTGAAACCACCAACCAGTTACTGTAGTTGCTAACATCTTCTGAAGTCATATAGATAGAGTGATTAGATGGATATACTTGTTGACTAATGACATCTGATGACTATAACTATTAATTGAATCACACGTTTTTGTGCAAAGTATAACGCGAGCTCCTCCAAGAGGAAAACATCCCCGGCATGGAAGGTAAAACATACCCTCCGGTGATCAGGCATCTTCATCCATTTATAGTGGATTCTTCCAAATTTTCCCATGAATTTCCCATGTTATTCCCATTCAATATTTAAAACCTCCATATTTACTTGAGACCGTACCATAGGTTCATGTTAGGGGACCTCAGGAATAGCATGCAGTTCCATGTTAGATTTGGGGAGTCTATGGGATTTCCCAGCGGCCATGTTTGATGACCGGCACCGCAAACCCTGTGGGTTGGATGATTCCGAAACGGGGAATGTCGTAGCTCCAGTTGTGGCAGCAAAACGCGAATGAATCTATCCGGACTGGCTTGTATACATATTGGAACAAAGAACAACTATACTTTTCATATATGTAAGTGTGTACATTAATATCTCTCCCCATTTTTTTTACACAGCATGTAGATATGTTAGTTAATAATAGTTAATAAACCCATTTCCGGTGACGATATCAACTCACTACCCGACCAAACCATGGATCTGAGCAGCAGCCCACAGATGGGAAGGGCCAAACCTGGCAGGACACCCATGGTTCCCTTCCTGTGGCCATTGGGCACCCCAAACATCCGAAAAAACGATGGTCCATTTTAGCAACAACGGAGAGGAGAATACCAAAAAAAAACTGACGTATCCGTATATGTAAATAAATAAATCTATATATATATAAAGAGAGAGAGAGATAGATAGATAGATAGATAAGATAAGATAAGATTAGATAAGATTAGATAAGATTAGATAGATAGATAGATCGATAGATAGATACATAGGTAGATAGATAGATAGAGAGATCGATAGATCGATAGATCGATGGATCGATAGATCGATAGATCGATAGATCGATAGATCGATAGATCGATCGATAGATCGATAGATAGATCGATAGATAGATAGATAGAGAGATAGAGAGAGAGAGAGAGAGTGAAGAAGCCACAACAAAAGGCAGGCCCCGAATAACGAGGATGGCTTCTAGGCAATTCTAGGCATATCTTCCATTTGTAGAGTTCCAGAGGCTGATTTTCGAGTGCCATGTTATCACTGCTATGATTGTCCTCTCTTTGCACTCATGACTTCCCCAAGGCTACAAAATTAGTAGCTGCTCAATGTGTTGAACATCCCCTGGGAAATATACCGCATACTTTAGACTCCCCTCAAAAAAATACTCAGGAATTGCAGAAATGTGATGATGACTGTAATCAAACATGGCTGCAAAATACCCCATTTAGTTCCAGGCGTTTTCCATTTGAAGATGTACCCATTGAAAGTGGCGATTTCCCAGCAGCCATGTTGGCTATATAACCTACATAACAACATAACCTATATAACCCATATATTATTGGTATCACCTATATAACCGTCCACCGTCCATCCTTCAGTGACCCATGCCACCGGCACGAACACGGGAGGTGTCAACTGCACGTCATACCTCGGCTCCAAGGTGCTCCGACGTCATTGTGGTTGAGTTACCCTCTGGTAAACTAACATAACTATGGAAAATCACTATTTTTAATGGGTAAATCAACTACAAATGGCCATTTTCTATAGCTATGTTAAATTACCAGAGGGTATATTTGTAATGCCAACCCCGGATTAAGAAAACCAAATGAAAACCATGGTTTATTGTATAATTAGAGGGTATTCCCCCAATAGTCATGATTTGATACTTAAATGGTACCTTACCAATTAAACAGCGTACAGTAGGGGTTTATTAATCCAGGGTTGACATTCGAAATCATTTATGGGACATGAGAATCAAGAACATAAGCCACTTACTATATATCTATATGTATATAAGATATGATGTGTATGACAAAAATCATGGATTGCCCATTATGGAAGGAAATTTAGAAGTCAAACTTCCGACAATATGGACAGATGAAAAGAAGAGATGGGCAGAGGCAGAGAGAAGAGTAGAAGAGAGCAGATCAGAGAAGAGAAAGAGTATGCAGATGCGCGAAAAGGTAGGAAAGTCGCGAAACACTGTGTTTTTCCAATGATTTGGGGCTCCGGAGGGTCGAAAAGTAGGCTCGCTAAAGCGGCGAGTGCGGAGCCATCTGGCCAGATGAGCGATGAAAAAGTGCACCCCGTTGTGGGGCGAAGCACATTTCCAAGTCAAAATGTACAAAACACACCAGGGTCGGACCACTTTTGGAAGTTGAGATGTCGAAAAAGTGCACCCCGTTGTGGGGCGAAGCGCATTTCCAAGTCAAAATATACAAAACACACCAGGGTCGGACCACTTTTGGAAGTTGAGATGTCGAAAAAGTGCACGCCGTTGTGGTGCGAAGCACATTTCGAAGTCAAAATGTACAAAACACACCAGCTTCGGACCACTTTTAGAAGTTGCAATGTCGAAAAAGTGCACGCCGTTGTGGCGCGAAGCACATTTCGAAGTCAAAATGTACAAAACACACCACGTACGGACCACTTTTTCTCGTTCCGCGTGGCAGGCGCAAGGGATTGTGCACCTTCTCAAAAGTGAGCAAAACGTGAGGGTTTTGTGGCATTGCCAAAAACGATGGCAGGCGTGGGACATTTGAAGAGGATCTTCAAAGATGCATTTTCCGTGGCAGGCGCAGTACAAGAGACATCTTCATCAGAGATATTAGGAAGTCAGGGCGCTGATTTCCTGAGACGGGTTGCATTTTGGAGCATCAGATCTGTAGGTTTGCTAAGATGATTTTGCGTGACAGGTGCAGCACTTCGTATGACCTGGCATCACTTTTTCGTGGCAGGCGCAGTACTTTCGACAGGTCGAGTGGAAAAACCGCAAAACGCATTGGTACGAGGCTGTCAGCTCTGCACTCAACTGTCCATTTTTGAAGGAAGTCTCGCAGAACTCATTTGTTTTTGATGTTGTCAAATTCAAAAGTTGAAGAAGTCTCGCAGAATTGCTTCGTTTTTGACGTTGTTAAGTTCTAAAATTGAGGAAGTCTCGCAGAATTGCCTCGTTTTTGACGTTGTTAAGTTCAACAATTGAGGAAGTCTCGCAGAATAGATTCGTTCTCAAACCTGCAGACAGATAGATAGATAGATAGATAGATAGATAGATAGATAGATATAGATATAGATAGATAGATAGATAGCTAGCTAGATAGCTAGCTAGCTAGATAGATAGAACAAAAAGTAATACCGTATTAAACGTGCTACATAATGCTACATATCTAAACAGTCGTTCTTTGTTTTTTTCTAGGGGAACAGATCTGCTGAATCGGTATAAGCCTCAGAAACTCACTCTCTCTCTCTCTCTCTCTCGCTCTCTCTCTCTCTCCATCGCCATCTGTCAAGGCTGCCTCAGAAACTGGATCTGCCATTTTATCAGCGAGGCTCGTCGTCACTTTAAGGCTACTACGAGGGGAAGACCGCATGTATAGCTTTGGACCATCATTTACTGAAAGGCAACTCGGGAGGATTGTATCTTCCCTAGGATGATGGCAACTGAGATGTGCTACGCCCAAAAGTTAACTGCTCCATACAGAGCAAGGATCTTCTCCAACTAACGCATTGAGTCCCACCTTTATTTGCGCTCCAGCACTTGCCACCACATTTTTTCCAAGGCATGCGCAAAGGCGACAAAGCTGTAACAGGTACGTAAGACGTGTCGCTTCAAATTAAGGTGCTAGGCACGGCTGGGCGAATTCATTGTCCCTGTCTGCTTTATGATTCTTACTTTTTCAATTGCCATTCCCAAAAATGGAAGGCATTGATGCAACATCGGTTGACTAACCAGTGGCTTCATGAGTTGCGTAAACCGCTTGTATGCGATTTTCAAGGCAGAATTTGCCCAAATGCAAAGAAACGAGGGTCGTGTCTGACATCTAGACGTTGACCGTCTGCTCCTGTGGGCCAGCTGTTTCTCTGCCCTGGTGACAAAACCTTGGCGACTGCTTTTGCTACCGTTATTCACCGTTATTCCTCCCTACCAGAGAGAAGATCACATGGCTAACCTCACCTATTTCACAAGAAATTAAATTGAATGTTGGTGCCATCTCAGTGGGTATCGCTGCTCGTCAAGTTCCACCCCGGATCTTTCTCCTGCGCTCTTGAGACAAACTTCCACACTTACCTCAACTAGGAGTCTTAGGGGCTCACTCGCCGCACAGGAGGCAAATCGGGTCAGGCAGCGGCAGAGAAATCAATGGTCAAACGAGCGCGCGTTCCCATCAGGGACCCCTCCGCTTCGTTTGTCCAGTACAAAGACCGAGATCAGCTTCGGTTGCGCATGTTCACTCTACACAGAACACTTGACACATGCAATTGAACATGGAAGCGACCAACCCATGTATATCAAACAGGGGTATACAGTCCCACGGGGTCCTTCTAATAAGCCAAACTGTATTCAGCTTGTTTGAGTCAAGATCGTTGCAATTTGTACATTGCTCAAATCTGGGCCCCAAAAAAACTATGGTCAATGAATCATCATTTTCTCCACATCTAAAAATTGACCCCCAGCCACATGTTTAGCTAATCATCTAATCCCACCCTCCTAAGTAATATTAAACACCCCCATCCTATGTTCCCAATGTGGAAAATTTCCTACATCATAACCATGGTTTCTAAGGATTAGGCGGAGATTAATCTTGGATTGTTGTTGAGGGGGGTACGAGTACCCAAGAGGGCAGTGAGGACCAACTGATCTGCGAAACCTCTCATCTCGGCCATGCGGAATGTCGACGCAGCTGCCCCTGTTTTTTTTGGATTTTTGGAAGGAAAAAACATAATTCATGTGGGTAAAACAAGAATAACTGGTGAAATTAATCATTAATCATCATGGTTTAATCAGATTTAATCACCATTAATGTGGGTAAAACAATGTCATAAACTAACCACTCCCCAAATCACCATAAATAAGTGGTATGTGTACCATTCCCAACTGGGTGGTTGATGATGGTTTTTCCCAGGGACGTGGAGGCAGCAGCACCTGAGGAACGTGTCATTTAAAGCAGATGCTATTCCTCCATGGTCCGTGGTCCTCAGGGGCTAATCAGCTCCAGCAAACAAAAGCACCTGCTTCCCTATTGGGTGGCAAGAATGCAATGTAAGCCAAGCTTCAGGGGATCCTAGGCCCCCCATGTCCCCCCTCAACCGATTCTGAAACTCATAAGCCCTGATGGAGTCTTAAACAAAGAACTGCTCGCGGTCGACATTCAGCGGAACAAATTCACTGTGCGGTTTCAAAGGGGGGAAGTGCCGCTGCTTTGGGAAGTTCCCTGAAATGCATTGACATGTTCGTTTACAAGGACGCGCTTCGTATATTTTTCCTGCGGATACATCATCAGTATCTATCAATGGATTGGTTAAAGGGAAAATCTACAGCAAACCAGAGATTTTCCCATTAAACCAATCCATTGAATCTAAAATCCACACAGGTAGACTGCGGAAGGGGAACCATTTGGCTGGAGATGGCTGGAGTATAACCTGATGCTATTGCTCCCACTTCTGGGCCTCCAAACAGCACATTTCTGAGCCCTTTGAAAACTTTCACCCATCTTTTGTTTGCACCAGATACAATATGCACGTGAATATGTAGTAAAATACACATATTTCAATTTTGGCTGGTTCTCTGTTGATCGAACCATTTAAAGCAATTTTTACTTTGTGCTTTATCCATGAGGAAATTTCATTCTGGTTGCTGTTTTACTTCCCAGTCCCCACTGTGCATCTTAGCAGACCTTTAGCCTGCTATGATATGAGCAGCGGCGCTCACCACATCGAACCTGAGTAGAAGGCACATGCTGGGGCCCGAGAAACTGCGTTGACACCTATCCAGGCATGATCTCTAAAGCGGTCTCGATGGCCGGGAACCTAACCATACCTGAATGATAATAATCAACATCTTGTAATAATGAGTAATTATGGTTTTCAAACCATAGGTAACCATATATCATATATCATATATCTCCCAATAATGGAATCCACAATCATCATTAAGGTTTTCCACCTCTTGTAACCTCGATACGACATATTCAAGTAACATTAGGGATCAGAAGCGCAGGCATAGTCACAAATCGATGGAACTCCGGCGGCAACGGAAAAGAATCGGGAATCAAACGCCATCGGAAAACCTCTTGAACCCCAAAAGCCTGAAGGCTTCAAGGTCCCCATTTCCACAAGGATTCCCGTGTTACAAACCACTGTGGTTGAAGACCATAGGACCCAGCGAATCTGCAAACATGGCAAGTGACACAGGACCTAGAGCCCACAGGTACTTCAAGCTTATTCAAATTGAATTGTAACTTGAGGCGGCCCCCTCAGCCATTCCTAAACCTGAACTTAGTATTCTTTGGAATGCTTCTCCATAAAGTATGTCGAGTCGAACCCATGGATAGGCAAACCAACAAAATACTCGGCGAGGTCGGCCAGGTCGATGCAAGTGCCCTTTGAGTTTTCGTTAAACACATACCCAGATCTGGGCAAATTACTAAAACATGTTTTTGGACCTCAGAATATCATGGGCGAATACCTACTGTCCTGTATAGTTTCTGGGGATACCCTCCTGTTTCTACTAAGAAAATGATAGAAAATGACGTGGAAAATCCATGGTTTCTTCGGACATGATCGAAATTCATAGGGACCGATTTTCCAAGGCACGCCAGGACCGTTTGAAAGACTTAGCTGTTCACGGCCCTGCAGCACAGTCGCCTGCGCAAGGGCGGGGCATAGGAACCCTATGTAACCAAGTGATCATCTTTTTACATGGGCAAATGCTGCTAAAAGGATTGATTACAAAATAACAAAGATTGCAAACAACATAGAAAAGTATAATTCATTTTAGCACGTATTGTTCCAACATGTTCAACATGATTTATGATTTATGACTCACACCAGGTCCAAGTCTATGGGCCCATGAGAGGCCTCAAACACTGGTGCTTCCCAAGTTCAGGTTAAAGTCCTCCGGCGTCATGAAGATTTGCGCCTGCGACCATCAGTGGATGTGGAAGGGCACCCTTAACGATCGGTTGTGAAAAGGTCACGAGTTTCAAAGGGGAAGAGGATCTGATTGAAGCGACTTTTTGTGAATTCATGTGTGATCTTGAAGGCTTAACCCTCTTGTCTTGATAATTCATGACATTCATGATAATCAATCATCCGTAACTCCGACTCCCCGGGACAATTCCCAACGTTTGACAGTTTTCTCTCATTTTCTCTCCATGTGTGTTTGACAAAATTTGGCTGCCTGATCACCCAAACAATAAAACACTGCTACATACAGGTACCCTAGGATAAAATCACAAAAGAAAGTGGAAACCCATGGTTTCCTCAGGAAAACAATATTATACTTTAATAGTGGATTTTACCGTTTCATTGGTGGTGACTAGTGAAGTCTCCCGTGTGGTCCCTCCCTCTGCCTTGCCCTTTGCCAAACTGGACGTATCGGCTTGGCGCGCTTTCAAGGTCTGTTGCAGCCTCGGCGCGAGAAAATGCAAGCCGGTCTAAGGGATGAAGGTTGTGAATCAACCATTGCGCATACTGTATTGATTATCAATGATGTTCATGTTTGTTCAAAATCATTATCTCAATATTTATCAGTATTATCATTGTTTATCAATATTTGCCATCATTTATCACAACATATTTATCAATTCTTGTTACTAGCATTCTTGTTTCACACCTTCATCGTCTGATCCTCCTCTTCTTTTTACATCGCCATCAAGAACTCTTCACCATCTTCACGCTGTTCATATCCCTTGTTTCTTCACAGCCGCACAGCCTGCCCTGGGGTAGTTTACTAACAAAGCTGTGGAAAACCCATGGTTTCCCGTTCGGAAAATGATCGACGAAAAAATAGTGGGCTTCCACATCTATCTTAGTTAACCCTAGGGTAACCAATGAATTATGGATACCCTCTGGTTATTTAACATAGCCATGGAAAATCCCTTATAAATGGAGGTTTTAATGGGAAACTCATCTATAAATGGGCCATTTTCCATGGCTATGTTAAATAACCAGAGGGTAATGGTGGAAAAACCGTGGAGAACTGTGGATAATTGTCGCCACTTTAATAGGGAATACGGCTAACCCAAGGGGTATCATCTTCAGAACCCATCCTCCTCAACCGGCGCACTTGTACATCTCCACTCGCTCTGTGACATTTGGCACGGAGGTGTTCAAACCAGAGATGTACGCCAAAGCTGCTTGCACCTGAAGGATGGCAAACCACTCAAAAACACACTGTGCCTGTGCCTAAAAAAACTGTCCATTATATATAAACTATCGGGGAAAACATAGGTTTCGGCCGGTGACTACTATTACCATATTACAAAGGTTGTGACTACTAAGGCTATTACCATATTACTATTACCATAGGTTCCGGTCATTAGTAATGGTTGTGAAAAATGGATGTGGCCCCGTGGCCCCTTGAGATCACCAACAAGCGGCCGGCCGCAACTCTCAGTCTGGGAAGTCTGTGTGAGTTGAGGGGCTTTGCCATGGGCGCCTGTCTGAAAATAACAATATATACGTATAGTAGATTATAGTCGATTATAGTAGTATAGTACCATCTTATTGGGTTACAAAAAATGATAGTACCTTTAGTATATAACTATAACATACTATAACTTATTACAATGGTTACGGTTAAGTCATGAAAAAATAGTACCCAATTTAGATAACTTCATCATTGTCCCGACGAAAGCAACATGTTGCTGCTAACACCCTTGGAGAAACCCAAAATCATGCCCCGTCGGCTACCCTATTCTCTCTCAATAGAATATCTGGTTGGTGGTTGAGCCACCCATCTGACAAATATGATTTCAGTTGGGATGATTATTCCCAATATATGGAACGTCAAAAAAAACATGTTCCAAACCACCAACTAGTAGATTATTTTCCCACTGTATCCGATTGTGTTCCACTTTCATGCTGGTTGACTGACCACTCTCGGCTGAGAATGGAACCAATTTTTGACCATCCGACTGACCCTGGAACTGCTTCTGAAGCCGCTCGTTATCTGCCTGGTGTTTTGGGAAAATCCGCTGCGGTAGGGTCATGAAGTAAACAGGTGAACATGGGAACTATAGCATTTCCTGCTGAATAATATTGAATGGTTCTTGCGACACTTCAGGATTTCTACAACGTTGTATGTATATATATATATATATATTTATTTATTTATTTATACCTTTACGGCTGGTCACTATAGTGAAAAAAACTTCCAGCCACACCAGGTCCCTCCAAACAATGGTCAAAAAAGGGTTGCAGGCAACAAACTGCCCTATGTAAAACATCCTAAGGTATGCTTTCTGAAATGTAAGGGTATCATCATGAATAATCAATCAATCAATTTATTTGAACAACATTTTTTTAGTATGGCCTTGGGTTTCCCTAGGAAATGCTCTACAAATGGTAGATTTTCTATGTCTATCTTAGTTTACTGGAGGGTACCCCCCGAGAAGTAAAATAATTAGCGCATAATTCCAATAATCCAATAACATCCTTATAATTAAACGATAAGAATCCACATACTTTCCATATGATTCCCTCAATCCTAACTCTCGTGTGATTCCCAAAACTCCGCCTGCGTCTGGATCAGCTCCGTTCTCTGCTGCTCCAGTTGGATGTCCGCCGTCAGCTTCGCGGCCTAGTAAGTGATCCGCAGGCGCTTCGTTGGCCAAGGCAAACCCCCCAAAAAAAGGGGGAACATCCAACCCTAAAATCCTAAAACTCGTGAAACAAGTTGAACCTTTTCGGGCTAATCGCACATACACATGTTAAGTATATATACACACATGTATATATATATATACAAAAACATCAAAAGGTATAGTTGAGTTCATCAATGTTTAACGATGTCTATCATAATTCTCAAATGCACATGCCACTTGATGATGCCCGAACCATTGATAGCTCTACCCACTCACGGCTGAGGGGCGTTCACCGCGTTCTGACTCTCCTGTTTCTGAAGCTCGTTGATGCCTCAATCTGGCATGGTCGCCTCTTGGCCCAAAGATGTCAAAAGGCATCCTAATGGCCATGTTTTCAAATGCTAATGGCCAGCTTACATTTTATGCCAAATCAATATTGACCATCCTAAACTTTGGCGTTCACATGCAGCCGCTTTGGTTGCCTTTAAAACTTTAAAGCTCCACGGTGAAAACCGCTGGTGGACACTGTTTCGCAAGGATCCAACCTCAAACGTTGGTCCTTGCCTCTCACTCTTGTTGTTTGACTTTCATTGGTTGATGATGCAACAGCGGAAAAAAACAAACAGAATCAAAAGATACCAGGATTTTGGATCATCAATCCGGGTAATTAGTTTGGCAACACATTGCAAAGCATGTTTTTCCCCACCTGCCAGGTGAGGGTTGTTAGATTTTATGTCAGTTGCTTCCTCCTCGTCCTCCTCGTCCTCGTCCTCCTCCTTCTCCTCCCTCTTCTCGTCCTCCTTCTCCTCCTCCTTCTCCTCCTCCTCCTCCTCGTCCTCCTCGTCCTCCTCCTGCTCCACAGCGATCCATGTCAGTGTGCCCTGCCGGACCTCAACCACGACCATCCACGTCAGTGTGCCCTGCCGGACCTCAACCACGACCATCCACGCCCAGTGTTCCCTGCCGGACCTCAACCACGACCATCCACGCCCAGTGTTCCCTGCCGGACCTCAACCACGACCATCCCCGCCCAGTGTGCCGGACCTTCCCTGCCGGACCTCAACCGCGAGTATCCACGCCAAGTGTTCCCTGCCGGACCTCATGTAGGAAGATATGGGACAAAGAATGTGCAGAAGAAAGTTAGAAAGAATGTCAGAAAGAATGTCAGAAGATATGCCAGAAGATATGCCAGAAGATATGCCAGATAGAATGCCAGATAATATGCCAGAAGATATGCCAGATAGAATGCCAGATAGAATGCCAGAAGATTTGCCAGATAGAATGCCAGAAAATATGCCAGAAGATATGCCAGATAGATATGTCAGAAGATATGCCAGAAGATATGCCAGAAGATATGCCAGAAGATATGTCAGAATATATGCCAGAAGATATGTCAGATAGAATGCCAGAAGATATGTCAGAATATATGCCAGAAGATATGCCAGATGCCAGATTGAATGCCAGAAGATATGTCAGATAGAGTGCCAGAAGATATGCCAGATAGAATGCCAGAAGATTTGCCAGATAGAATGCCAGAAGATATGCCAGAAGATATGCCAGATCATATGCCAGAAGATATGCCAGATAGAATGCCAAATAGAATGTCAGAAGATATGTCAGATAGAATGCCAGAAGATTTGCCAGTAAGAAAATGTATAAATGTCATGGTGGGGATCACACGAAGTAAAGTAATTAATTTGTTTTTTACATCAAAAAAGCACGGTAATATGTCATCTAATATAATAACAACAATGATCATCATCGTAGGCATCATCATCGCCGTTCACACTACCATTCTGCGCTTGCTATCTAACTATTCGTCAAAACACCGCAATCATCAAAACTTTGATATGATACGCAATAAGTATAACTGACATCACTTGTCACCATTATCAAGTAATTTTGATTTCACCAAACTTTGAAAGTACCATAACTTGGTCCATGTTCAACCCCAAACCTAGGAGTGATATGTTTCAATTCAGGTACCTACCAACGATTTTTCAGAAAATTGTGCCGAATTGTGTATACATTGAAAAAACCACTTCCGCGTATGTGCCATTGTCAAAACACAATATAATTTTCGTATGGTCATCCATCCCATCATTGGGAACCCTGGTGCTGCGTATGACTATCCACAAACTGATGGGAACCAAACCATTCGAAGTGAGCACTTCATCCCTTGCTTTGAGGTCACTTCACCTTTGCCATGGTCACTTAGTCTTCTCAAAGCAGTCACCCAGTCACCTTGATCTGCAAGGGTATATCATCCTAATCATATCAAAGTCCCCATAGTTTCCCAACTATAACCTCCCTTTCGTTCGGGAGTTTCCATGTCTAAAAAATATATCCCCCATATCCCCCCATCATAGAAACACTATTCACCAATCGTCTTCACCATTGATAAAACTGTTATATATATATATATATACATCTTAAAACAGTATTATATATATATATATGTGGAGAGAGACATCATGAGACATCTCATTTAGCAATCTTATTTAGCAATCTTTACACATTGTTACTATGATAATAATTCTCAAAAATCATCATTAAGATGTGTTGGTTTAACCATGATAATAACAAACCAATGTTTTATCATATAGCCATCATGTATCATCATACGTCATCTTTTTTTAATTACTACCAGCATTATTGTTATTGTATATTATTAATGGGTTATTACAATGGTCATTATTATTGCTATCACCACCATTATTATTCTATATTATTATGTTACTATGATAGAATATCATCATTATGATTGTGCTTATATCATATATGGTTAAACTATGGTTGTGTTTATATCATATGTGGTTAAAACCAACTACAAAAAAATGTTTTGACCATCTCCGCAGCTAGGGACGCAAGGTGGTCTCCTTGATGATGTTCTGCAGCACCAGCGCTGTCTCTGCATCCACCGAATCCTGAAGCCCCCCCCTTGGAGAAGCCAAGGGACTTGGATGACTTGGTGATGCGGGTGGAGAATGTGGAGAATGGTGGATTTCATGACTGAAAATGGCTGAACATGGTGATTTTATGATTTTGATGGGCTTCAAACATGTAACCAGGCTGCAAATGTTGATCTAATGTGATTTAAGTGGTAAAATTGGTCAGAAACTGCTGAGTAAAAGGGGATGATCCTAACTGATTGATGTTGATGGATGTTGCAAAAAAAGCGGAGATAAAGCAACTATCTTTGGGATTTGCCTTGGGGATAGCCAAGAACAAGTGATTGGTGTTTGGTTTCAACCACAAGACCAAAGCATCAAGCGGGGTAGAAATCCACTGGCTGGGGTGATCCATCTCATAGGGAAAACCTAGCCAAACCTTCATGATGCGAATTTGGACCCTCCACATGACCATGCCCTCAATCAACAGCAGCCACTAAACAGGTATCATCAAAGGACATCAAGAACAAAACAGCAGATGGCTGGCAAGTTGGCTTTCACGTGCTTTCACAACATTTCAACCATTTCATATACCATGTTCCATTCATTTTATTTCAGGGTGTTTCTCCAAACTGTGGTACCCCAAAACCAGTTGTTTTCTTACAAAAAAGGACCAACATTTGAACATTTGCAACTCATCAGGTCTCCCTGTGGCTGAAGATGCTGAATCCACTGGGGTACCCCATTTTCACCCTGGGTTTCCCCATTGCAAGTGACCAACAACGTTTGGACCGGCCTTTTCTTGGCAACCGCCGAGGCGCGAATTTGGTGATCTCCAAACTCTGCAACGATACGCCGCGATCCGAGAAGGTGTCAGAGGCTTGGGCGTCATAAGTGGCCTGCGACGTTCCACGGTTTCTGGACGTGAGATGACCATTGCGGTCATCCCAGCTGTGTCTGGCAATCTAACACGACTTGCCATGGAAAAATGGCATTGGTGAGTGGGCTATGCCAATCATTTGTGTAATCATCCATGGCCATGGCTATGTTCATCAGATGGAATTTCATGGGGAATCCCGGAATCCCGGAATCCCGGAAGCGAAAAAGGGAATGACCATCTCCAAACTGATGGGAAAATAAACCATGTTAGACCATGTCACATATGCTCCATGTATTGGCATGTATTGTATGTTTACATGTGTTTTTTTGCTGGTAATATTTGGTAAATATTGGTAAATGTATTACGTGGAGCATCTGGGATATGCAATACATGGAATACAGCACTAGGACAAAAACTATTCCTCTTGACTAGCCGCTGCAATCCTCTCCCCTTCGAATTCTGACAGGTTTTATATGAATCACATGGCGGATCGTGGATCAGCTGGTTTGTTCTAAAATGTTCTAAAAGACTTAGATTTTATTCCGACTTGAAATACGATCGGCCACGCAGGCCACACGAAATGAGGATACTTGATCCGCGGCCGATGATGATGATTTTTATAAGAATTGTCTCCCTCCTGATGTATCCAAATACCCCCATTCAGATTATAATTTATAATAGCTTGTCAATACTTGTCATATGGGCCATAAACTACTCACTAAGAGGGATGCACATCCACAGGGTGGGAGACCGGATGCTGGAGGGCACCCCCTCCAACACCGCGGCCATGGCGCCTGTGTCAGGTTGTTAAAGCCTGCCATGAACTGTGCCAAAGTCAGCCTGGTCCAGGAGCAGATCGCAACATGAAGATTTTCAAGAGCTGAGCCAAGGGAAACCGACTAGAAAGATTTGGGATTCACCATGAACACATAGGGGATCTTTAGCCAAGGAAAATGCAGAGGACAACCGTGCAACATGGAGAAAATCACCCAGGGGGTTCAGATGATGTAAGCAGATGATGAAACTTCACAAAATCAGAAGATCACCAGTCAAAATCAAAAGTATTCAAAAGTGACCTTCGTAAAATCACTGAGAAAACTACGTGAAACAGAGGATCCCAGCTTGGGTGCGAAACAACAGCGAGCATATGGGTCCTATAGACTGGGTCACTGTGTGACCGACGCAAATGGTAATAGACAATCTGGTTGTTTCACTCACCAAATATGAGTCAATGTGGTCCAATCAGGGCATTTGTTGCCCCAATCATTGCACGTGTTGGGCCGAAAACTGAAGATTTTTAGCTGCAAACCAGCCAATTTCTGCAGCGTCAACACCCTAAAAAACATAAATCTGCTTGATTCTTTCAGGGCTGTTGCCGCAGAAGGGACAAATAGATGCTGTTTGGTAGGTACTTATTAGACACGATCAGGTACTAACCACGGGCAAATGGCTACGCCCCGCTATCAAATATTGCGCCCAGCAGCCTTCCCACTTGCTGGATCATGCCACTGCGCGCCTTGGAAATGCTCATATATTTCCCACTTGTTTGAGAAACAACAAAATGACTGGTGTCGGAATTCCGCAAGAAAATTGGAGAATTAATGAGATTTATAGCTGTGAAAAGTATCAAACTAATTCGAACTATTGTTGCGGAGTTTTCCAGATAGCCATCTGTGCTTACCAGAGGGCAGTCTTTTTTTTTGGGGGGGGAAAGGACGGCGTCCAGCCGTGCATGAGGTCTGGAAGTCTTTTTCCCGTACATCTGCATCAATGTTAATGGGACGCTTCTTAACCGGCTGCATGAGAAAATTTAGGAGGCTTACTGAAAGTCGTTTCAGACTATCTTCAATGGTTGATTCAATGATCGAGTCCTTGCTGTCTCGGACCAAGCTCGGAACCCCATGTTTCAATCCCCAGGTTGAATCGAGATGCAAGCATAGCAATTCATGACGTAACATGTTTTTGGCTTCTTCTAGGCGACACCCCCAAGATGAAACACGATCAAACTCCACGTCCCTGGACGGTCCGCCGACATGTTACCATTTTGATACCGCCTCAATCCAATAAACAGTCATAATTAATCAATAAATTCAACTCAACCACCTCTCTTTCCCAGTTTTTCAATTTTTTTCCATGTTTTCCATGTTTTTTGTTTCCTTCATTTTTGTCCAACCTCCAAAAAAAAAACAACCGCCGTGCTTCGCCCCCACCGGTGTCCAACCGTTACCGCGGCATACCGCGGCGCGCGCTGCGAGATGTCGCCCGGCGCGTCGGCGGTGGAGGTAACCATCTGCATGATGTTGTTGGACTGGACCTGGAGGCCCTGCTATGCCCTGCTGGATACCAGAAAATCGCTGTGAAAAAAGGCTGGTGATATTTGCTGGTCATAGTTTAATAATTATTGTGGGTTGAAAATTTGGACCGGGTTGAAAAGACCGGGTTGAAAAGAATCTGTGAAAACTACAGTAGGTTAATTGTTTTCAATCAATATAACTTGTATATAACGGGTCCTCCTGTGCAATGCAGCAATGAGCATATGCATGAACATATGAATAGTTATGCATATATGACAGTGTGATGCTGGGGTCATTGTTTGGGAACATGTTGATATTCCACACATGGGGCCTATGGGATATGATTGGGTAGTAGTATATCTAATATGAGGACGCAATTTCTGATCATAACAGCGATTTATATGGGATAATTCCCTGGGATAATGTATATTAATGTATATTAATGGTGCCGAGTATTATTGATGTATATTAATGTTGGATAGTAATGATAGTATGGTGTCCTCTACTGATGATACAGTATATGATGATGTCATGAACATCTTCTAGAAAACCATATGGGACCATGGCTGTGTCGATGATCTCCAAGGGCCTGCCAGAAGATGGTGCCTTCCAGCTTTAACCTCACGTTGTCGCTGGTGCGCACCTGGCAGCCGTGGAATGCTGATAGGTGATGCCAGATCTCTAAGGTCTGTGAATATTGCTGTGCACTCTTTTCTCTACTCATGTAGATGTAAGATATTGTAAGATTATATGGAGGTTAAAAAAGAAAAGGTGGTACCCAATGGAACCCCCAGATCATCCATAGATGGATTTTACAGCAAATAAACCAACCAGCTCTTGGGGTACCCCATGACATAGGAAATCCCCAATTCCCCCATTGCGCCTCATTCTGGAAGAACATTTTCCTAGGTCAGGTCGGCTCGGCTTTAGCCGGTCATGGGGGATCCGCATAAGCACACTGAAGAAGGGCAAAAACGCTGCATAGATGGCTGAAAAGACAACACATCAACCAGCCTGAGATCTCCAGAAGTTGATGATTCTTCATTTTGCTCTATGACTCTATGGTTTGTGTAGATTGATCCGTTTATTTTTTTCCCGGGAGTTCGTACTTTATTGCGGGTGGTTTTTTAATCCCATGTTGACATTAGATTATCTTTTCTTTCGGGCTCACCCTTGAACTTTCTGCATCACTCAATTGATGTCTGAAATAGCGATTTGTTCCCGTAAAACGTCCCATACATCAGGGGTACAATGCTCATATCTGCATAAAGCCATATCATGCCATATCAATCCATATCATATCGCTGGTTTTTGATACCATTAATTTCATTGATGTTCAATTCTACCCCCTGGCAGCCCCCATAAACCTCCCAAATTTAAAATTTTCGGTTCTTCCGCATTAGCATCATCACACATGGACTACACACACCCATGTAAAAGAATCCACAAAATGGTCAGTCTTCCCAGTTTTGTTTTTTTTTGCAATCCCACTTGGAGGATCATCCCACTTAGTGACTGACTAAATAATGACCACACTTACAACCCAGTAATACATGGGAGAACCCCACGAGTCGGGGGACTTACCAACAATGCTGATCAACCCACTTACGATCCGTGCAATGATCCTAGCATTCTATCCATTTCCATCCCGACTCAATCTTCATTTGGATGTGTCCTTTAAAAAACCCGGGGGTACCCTATAGCCTATAAATCATCCATATATCATCCAGTTTGACAGAGGATTCTCCATTTTAAACCAACATAAACCAATCATTTCTATTCGAGGCTACCCCCATGACTTAGGAAAAAGTGTCTGTGCGCGCAAGTCGATCATCTTCACCAAGACCTTGGGCACTGGATCCTCCAAGACCTCCGACGGACGGAGCTGGACAGAACAATCACCGATCTGATGGACTTGTGCTATTTTTGATAAGATCATAGGAACCCATTCGCAAGCTCTTCATTTAGTATGTTATTTGTGAAATATGCACCCTAAACAGAACCTGCAGAAATCTATGGAAAACAATGGACAGCTAATTCCTACTAAAAAAACTAATCAAAACTAATCAAAAATCATACCATTACTATTATAATAATGTGTATATATATATATATGTGTGTGTGTGATGGCAATAAAAGTTGAAAATAATAACAGTATTGATAAATAGTAACGAGATATGTGATTATAAATACAATATATGAATGTGAATAGGTTTGTTTATTGATGATAAGAGTATAATTGTTTATATGATCATGGTTGGTAATCATGATATTCTAATGGTATAACTGATTGTTTGTAGTAAAGCTATCATAACTAATAATCATTGGCATTCTGTACCTTTGGCATTCTATCTATCATAGTTGATAATAAGGAATTTCTTTGATTATTATGCTATATAGCTCCTGGGTATATTAAAAACAAAACTATATGGATTTATATAGCATTATCTTTTCATTTAAGGAACTATATAGCTATTCTTCGCTATTCTTGAATATGGTAAACAATGGACGTATTTTCACAGTGAGAATCATAGGGGGGAATGCTTTTGGAAACAGCATTGCGGAGCTGTATCGTTTTTATATTGGAGAATGTATCATTTCCATACATTCTCTCACTGTTAAGAGCGGAGGGTGGTCTGTGAAGGTCAAACGTGCAATAAACATTTATGGCTCATATAGCTGCAAAATTAACACATGTTGAATTGAAGGCATGAAGAAAACCCCGTACTGCATAGTACCGTATATCCATTCGAAATCACTGAGCAATGATGCAGTTCTATTCAGCTTTGGCATTTCACCTGTGGCATTCCACCCAAACTCCTCCCAACGTCCAGCGCAAGGACTGGAGAGGTATAAGCTGACCAGTTGAACTCCATCTGTGTCGTGAATGGTGGAAGGAAAAAGGCCTCAGGGGCCACCGCAGCCAGGCAAAAAAAACACACATGTTTATGATGCTGGCAAGCATGATTAAAGCGACTCCACAAAGAGCCATTGGAAATGAGCGCTCCTCTGGTATGCCCAAACGAAAAATCACGCATTGGTAGCTATAGATGGATGGATGAATAAATAGATATATAGATAGATGGATAGATGGATAGATGGATGGATGGATAAATGGATAGATGGATAGATGGATAGATAGATAGATAGACAGACAGATATACAGACAGGTAGGTAGATAGACAGATAGACAGATAGACAAACAGACAAACAGACAAACAAACAGGAAGATAGATAGAAAGGTAGATAGATAAGATAGGTAAGATAGGTAAGATAGGTAAGATAGGTAGGTAAGATAGGTAGGTAGATAGGTAGGTAGATAGGCAGGTAGATAGATAGATTAGTTTAGTTTAAATTAGATTACATTAGATTAAGTTAGATTAGGTTGGATTAGATTGGATTAGATTGATGATAGATAAACATGTGGAATAGGATTTTCACCTCAGGCAGATTGGTCTACTAGAGAGTGAGCACATCACTTTCAATGAGAAATAGGAGAGAGGTGAAATCACCATCCGCCATGGTGAAATCGCCATGTGTTTCTAATTGTTCATAGTGAAATCACCATTTTTTACAGGTGAAATCAGATGAAATCACCATTTCTACTGGTTAAATCCCTATTTTGAATGGTTAAACCATAGTTTAATCTCCATTTTTCAGAGTTAAATCCATGTTTTCTATTGGTTAAATCACCACTTTCCATCCATTTTCTCCCGGCATTTTCTTCCCAGGTCGAGACGCAGTGGCACCGGAACTGCCGGTGACCAAGGTCTGCACTCCGGCGATGTCTCGCAGCACCGTGGCCTTGGGGACATGGTGAAGTGGCCAATGAGGCTATAAGTATACACCATTTACCCTCTGGTAATTTAACATAGCTATTGAAAATCACCATTTATAGTGGATTCCCATTGAAAATGGTGATCTTCCATAGTTATGTTAGTTCACCAGAGGGTATGTAACCGTAGGTTTTTATGGATGGTTTATAGATGTTTTATAGATGGTTTATAGGTGGTTATAAACCTCTAACTATAGTTATTAGTGGTTTATACAGTTATAGATAGACGATTTACATCTATAAGATGGTTATAGATGTAGATATCCATAGATATAAATAATAATAGCGAATGAGTTATAGATGAGATGGTTTATAGATGGTTTATAGGTGGTTTTTTAGATGGTTTATAGATGGTTATGAACCTATCTCTAAACCATCTATAACTATATTAAATATCTTCATTGATGGTTTAACATCTCTTAAGCCATCCTAACATGTGGAACTTTGTGTTTTATTTAACAAATAAGCTGGCTTTAACCATGCTTGAATGGGATCCAACCTGTAAAACCCACGTTGATCAGGGCGAATCTGTAGCGGCTATCCTTGGCTGGAGAGCCCCTTTTTTGTGTTCGTTGAATCCCCATGAAACGAGACGTCGGATGTGAGAGATGGGAAGTTTCGGAAAGATGGAGTTTAGATGACTTATGACCCAGTTTTTGGGATACCTTCTGGTAATTTAATAGTTTGCCATGGTAGAGATGGCCCATAGAAATAGATGGTTTACCGTTCTTAAACATGGTGATTTTCCATGGCCATGTTAAATAACCAAATGGTATCATGTTTGATCAACTCCATGGAAGTTCCAGTGATGTCCCATGGCCTCAACCGTCGTGAAATTTGGCCGAACAAACACCTCAGCATCGCGGCCTGGTGAGGCAGGACCAAGATCTTATGCATGATTTCCAGGATGCGTTCATAGGGCTGGGGCACGAAGACCCCAACGGTTTCATACAGTCGTTGCTGCCCTGTGGTCCTGGTCGAAAGTGCTGATCGCCAGGCGACCCAGTTGCTGATGGGATATCCCCAGCTACATGTTTTTGGCTGCGTCCAGAAGGCTTGCCCGAAATGAAACAGCTATATCAGGCTATATCATATTAAATAGATATATGTTGCATATAAAGTTATGTATATTTAAATAAATAAATATATATATATATCTATCTATCAATCTATCTAACTATCTATTATCTATCTATCATGCTGGCAAACTAGTGGCCAGCGTGGGACTTGCGCACAAAAAAGAAACCAACGGTCTCATACATCAGTGACTGGGGCGCCCGAAATGACCTTAGAGGATCATCCCGTCAGACCTTCTGGTTCTGCCGCAGTGGATGGATTACATATGATACCCATAACTATGGAAAAACACCATTTTTAATGGGTAAATCCACTATCAATGGCCATTTTCAATAGCTATGTTAGTTTACCAGAGGGTATGTTTGTTGAGTCCCTTTTGTTTGGGAAAAATCCTATGATTTTGCCATTAAAAAAACCATGATTCCATGACAATTTTGTCTTCATATTCCCCTAATTACAATCATTACATCCCTATTGCTGATATATGATCTTCATGGTGAACTCCGGAAATCCCTGAAATGTTGATGGTTAAAAATCACATTTTGTTCACCATATTCTTCATGCCACAAATCCCCAAGTCATGACACATCTTTCCACGTTTCGCCACCGTTGCGGCGGCCTATTCTCCAACTTCACGGCCGTCAGGGTGTCGATGTAGACCGCCTTCTGCTTGCCGTCCGGCGCCGTTTCGGTGTAGTCAGGCACCACCACCTGGAAGGTTTAGGGAAGCCAGGGATGACAACGGGGGATTTAAGATGATTTAAGTAGCAAAATGGGGATTTCACCAAAGATTTGGATTTAAGATGATTTAAGATGATCTAAGATGATTTCAGATGATATATCATACATGCATTGGACATTTGGAATTCATCATCCAAAACCTGCTTTTTTTTTATTGGGATCTAAACATGATCGAAGATGGGCCATAACTGGGATTCAACAATCACAAATGGGGATTGGACCAAGGTACAAAAGGGAAGAGAACAATGTGTACACCACCCAGGATCGGATGTTTCAATGCCAAAAGCAAAGGTTTAGGATGGCTGTTTGACTCTTGGGTGCTGGCCTTCTGTATGGCATGTCACTGGAAAAGTAATAGATTTGATGTGACCTTTAAACAGGTCGCAACTTTGACAACACCCTAGGTTGGTGCTTCCACTCAGCGGGCAAGGTTCGAAATACAGTGTTTGATGTTGTTTAACCATGTTTCACCTACATGTTTGTGCTCTTAACCAAGACACTTGTCCCGAGTGTGTCCCAAATTCCCCGCATGGTGACAGACTAAGTCAAAGCGGTTTCCCAGGTTGGTAGCGGCAAAGTATGGCGAGTGGCTGTGGGTCCGGTGACGATGCGCTCTTGTCCAGTCTGCTTGTCAACCAAGCGCAAGTATGAGTCCTGAGGTCAGCTCAAATTGCTTGGATATGTTGGATATCCTCCATTTATGAGAATAATTTCATCCATCAAATCTTACTCACATGCCATTGGACCATTCACCCAGGTTTACCCTCTGGTAAACTAACATAGCTATTGAAAATTGCCATTTATAGTTGATTTTCCCATACAAATGGTGGTTTTCCATAGTTATGTAAACGTTTACCAGAGGGTAGTAATCATAATCTGGTTGGTGGTTTCAAAGATTTTTTATTTTCCATATATGGGATAATCCTTCACATTGACTAATATTTTCTTCAAGATGATTAAAACCACCAACCAGATGGTTAAAACCATCAACATCTTTCGATGCTTCAATCCCCCTGCAGGTGATGCGGTTCCACCAGCCATGTTTTCTCCCCAGAACCTTGGGACGGGCGCAACAACTCCTGTAACCATGGCGTTGCTTAAGGCATGAAACAACCATAACAAGCATGTCGGGATTTGTTTATCCTCCAGTAAACTAACAATAGCTATAGAAAGTCATCCATGCATAGATAATTCTCCAAGTAAAACCCTGATTTATAGTGGATGTTACAAATTGTAATATTTGAGTGCCAAAGGGTGATTCTCCATTAAATCGCTCCTGATAAACTTCCATTTATAGGTGAGTTTCCTATATTCCCAGTAAAACTATAATGTTAGCCAATATCATCCAAATAGCCAATTTCTCATTAGACTTGGTTATGCATCCCCATTAGAGCTGTTTTCTCCCACCATTTCTGCCCCAAAAAATGAAGGAACTTCTAGTCATCCCCAAAAAGATTTAAAAAAGTACATACCGATTTTCCCATTGTACCCCCCAGTATTTTTTTTGAATGCTTTTATTGTAGTTTTTGTAGTTTTTAAATGTTTGTTTTTGTAGTTTTTTTAATACAATACTAACATTCAAAAACCACAAAATACATCAAAAAAACATCAAATAACCATGAAGCAGCTTCCCCCATCGACCCCCCCAAAAACCTCTCCTTCTCCAGGACCCATTTGGTACTGACATTCAGCAGTTCTTCATAGGGCCCCACTTGCAGCAGCTGAGGGCCCACCTCGTTCCTCGTTTGACCTGAGGTCTCCAGGGAAAACCTAGAGGAAACTTATGCTTTAAGCCGCTAAACGTATGTGGAAACATGGGGATAGTCAACCCTAAACCCGATTGACATTCACTTCATGTTCACTGAAAAACCCTAACCACCTCGAAATTCACTTCCAAGTCGGCTGCAAACGATGCAGACTAAGTATTTTTTTCAGCCTAGTCGACCCAATTCAAATGGTAAAACATCTGGAAAAGAGTCTGATGGTAAAACAACAGGAGTATCATTGGTTTGATCGGATTCATCGACTGAAATAACCAATCATCTATTGGTTAGAAACTAGGTCTTTCTCGGTATAGCTCACATTCCAAACCGGACCAGCCATCATTCATCAATGATATCCTTGTATGTTCAGTGGTGAAGACCCACATTTGGATACATTTGGGTGTCAAATAATGTTGACACATGTTGAACCTCCATTTTGCTACACTCCCCTATGTCTTGTTGGTTGACTCAACTTATCTCAAATTCTCAACTTCATTGTGCGGAAAAACCTTCCAGCAATTTAAGTTACATAGCCATCTTGGCGGCCAATATATTTGGTGCTTAAACCCTTCTCGCTGCCATAGCTGGCTGACTCTATTTGTTTCGGAGAACTATGGTTCTAAATCCCCAGCGACTGCTGCAATTTTTGATGCTTAAATCCCAAGGATTTCCATCGCTGCTTTTCCAGCCGAATTGTTGGCGAAATCCCAAGAGAAAAAACGACACAATTCTTGCTGTTTTTTATGTCAAATCACCATGATTTGCAAACGGGTTTCCATTTTTTGCTGGTGAAGTCCGAAGTCCCGCACGAAAAACATCCAATTTTTGATGGCCCAAAAAACATACCATTTTTCCATCCAACTGTTCCAATCTTTGTGAAATCCCCCAGTTTTGATGGCCAACGTCTCCATGTTTTCTCGGCGAAAAAAGTCCCAAGTCCCAACGGCACCTGTCAGGTGGTCCTTTACCACAGCATAACTCAAGGGTTCCAACAGCACGGCATTCTTCTCCCGCAGGATTCGTTCCTCGGGGGTGAATTTGGGGGAGTCAATGGGAAAAAAGATCGATCTTTTTTGTGGAACTCATGAATTTATAGTGGGATAAGCATCGAAACTGTTGGTATGAAAATCAAACCGTGATAAGCTAGATGTTCAGTTGTTTTTGGAAAATTTTGGTGATGTTCTGATTTCTTTACAGGAAAATTGTTGGTGATTGCAACTGAATATTAATAGAATTAGAACGTTGGATATGATGACTTGTTTACGTCTCTCTTCAACAGAGTCTAGCATATATTTATCTGCACATGTACGTATGTGTATAATGCATATATATAAATAAATGGATACTCACATGTGTATTTAAATATCATATTTGGCTGATCATATCCGTACATATAATCAATGAAGCTGGATTGTATATGTACCTGTATATATATATATATATAATACTATATGATGAGATTTGAGTGTACGATCCATGTCGATTTTCCAGGCTGGCATCATTTTTGTTTGTAGATGCATGCTTGGCAGACTCACTTCCAAGCTACGCTTCAAGCCAAGTTTAAGATAGTGCAAATAACATGCACGCAAAATGGGAATGCATCTACAACCAACAAATACCGTATCCATGTAAATTTCCGAACATGTAATAATCCGTCTTGGATGCTGGCAACAACATGCAACAACCACATCAACCTATAATGTCTTGATCACCACACATGAAAGCTTCAAACCCATTTTCTGATTCTTCCACCATTTATTGAAGCTAGAAGTGCGACCAAGGAACGTAGGGTGCTGGGACAAACATCCCCTTGTCAGTGACCAAGCGTTTCATGCCGCTGGTCTTGTTCCTCGAGCGTCCAAGTTGCGAGGAGCCATGAATCAATGGTTTTTTTCATCCCTTCCCCTGTTCACATTAGACACCTCCTATAAACCATGGCGTAGTAGAGGAATGGAAAACATATTTGGGCCATTTTGAGGGCTACTTTTCACTTCAACCGAGCTTGGGGAAACAGGGGGAATATTCGCTTCGGTGCTGATTGCTGATTCAATTGTGTTCTTAGCCGCATATTTGATCCTCCCAGTATTCCAACGGAATGTGTAGATAATACATGATAATTAGCTCAGGCATTGCGAACAAAAAACATGTATGAACCCACACAAGCAAGATTTAGCCTCTGGTAACGTAGCATAGCTATTGAAAATGGACCATTTATGGATCATTTACCTATTAAAAGGGTGATTTATCAATAGCTAATTATGTTAAATTACCAGAGGGCAATCAGTTCAAAATAGTTCAAAGATCCGAACCTTAAAGTGCTGTAGGCTGATGGACTTCACCCAGCTTACAGGTTCCAAATGTCTGAATAGAGGACGGAAAGTCACAACGACTTGCAACCACTATCCGGGAAAGCATATTGAAAAACATCCCATTAGTAATTGCGTGCATGTACATATAAAATGTAAACTTAAATTTGTGTGTATATTTGACTATACAATTAACTATATGCACAAGTATCACTTTGAGATTACCTAAATACATATGTATCAAGTATGTAGATATCTCAGTATGAGGAAATTTCATCCATTGCACACACATATACATATATATATATATATAATATAAATAACTATTCAGCATATATGTATATATAGTACATACATACACATATAAACAACTTCACGCTTTCAACGGCATGTTGCACATCTTCCACCAGGCATCTCCACAAGCACCGCGTTGGTGTGGCCAATGACAATGCTGGTCTCAATTCCAAAGGGCCTTGGATAGTGAAGCACGAAGTCCCTCAATGGACAAGGTGGAACACCCTTTGAAAGAAACTGTGGCAAAGCCAATTTCATGAGAATATATATATATATATGTGTGTGTGTTAGATTCATATTCATAAACCATTTATATATGTGGAGTTGATGAAAACATTGCGCACATATTTTCCAATAAAGGTATAACCTGATGGAATTACTATGATACATGTTTAAACATGTCAAATAAAGACCCTGCAACATGTACCCAATACTTAACCAGTTGCGGGTTCTGAGAACCCATTCAAAACTAGGGGTTGCTGCGAGGTTTGCAACAATTATTCAAACACAAAAAATGAAGCGTATCACATGCGGGTCTTCTGTGCATATATATATATATCATACTATTTCTGTCTAGATGCTTGCATCCCAAAAGAAAGGCAAACGCCCAACCCCACAAACAAATGATCTTCTTCAGCAAGACATGGCTAATCTTAGAAACCCAGCCGATAGATGATAAAAGAAGTTCCAGCGACGTTGCCCCCCCAATGGCCCGAAATACATGGCTGGAAAATCCATCATTGACTTCGATGATGTTCCCAGCGAACGAAACCTCTGTTGAAACAATGGATTTTCGGAGATTCCATGAAGTTCCTAGCTATAAAATGGGTTTCTCTAGAAAACAAACATATTCTCATATTCCATATGTTTCCATTTGCAATTAACTTCCCATATTCTCCACCGATTTTCCTATAAATAACCACCGTATTTCGGAGACATCTTTGATGAGACCACCATAACCGGCCACCAGCGAAGACCATCCAGCCCAAGGTGCCACTCTTCAAATGGCTCTGGGACCAAGATTTGGGGTCCACCAACCTCGGAGGATTGTTTTTTTGGTCGAAAATCATGGCTGCCTGGCGATTTTCACCGCAAAATCTCATTGGGTGTTCAATGGTTTTATCAAATTTATCATGGTTTCTCTATATATTTAATTATACATGTTTGTTTTTCTCTCTATGGTTTTATCATCATTCTTGCCAACATTCTCAAACTGCATGGACTTTCTGAAACTGCTCATTTGCACTTGCCACAAAGTGGTGGCGCCCCAGCTATGTTTGTTGGTTAATAACCACCATAAGCCACTTAGTTATTTGCACCAGCTTTGCCATCGTGGGGGGGGACTCAGAGAGGCCGAGGGGCCACACGCTCAAAACCTGAGATCCGGTGAATCAATCGCACGTACTCACGTTTCTGCAAGACAAGCTTCTCCTAAGCGCAGAGCCATAGAGGTTGCGAACTGACTCCGAACTGCAGTTTGATGATGATCAGCTTTATGACTAGACTGGACAGGATTCTTTAACTGGGCCCATTTGTAACCGTATAAAATTGTTTTTTGTAGGAACTGAAGGTGCGGTCAACAGGAAACCGTGGTTTTTATCTGCAAATGGTTCGGGTGTTCTTTCAGAAAGTAGTTCTGGGACAGCTCCGAATTCGGAACGTATGACGACTCTCCTTGATCTCCACCTTCTTTTCCCAGGCGTCCATAAAGACCTGGTCATAGTTTGGCGGTGAAAAATGGGGCCACGGCGCCAAGGGATCATAACTGGATTAGGTAGAGGCATGGTGAACCTCAGATACCTACCAACAAAAATCGGAAAACATGTTAGTACATTTTAAACATTGATAGTAAAAGATTAAAGTACTAAGGTATCTAACCCAGGTTGACCCAGTACCCTCCCCCAAATTAGCATTTCGATCCTGCCAAAAGTTTTTTTTGTTCTCGGCCAGGGTCGATGTTAATTTTGGGGAGAGTATGTGGTATCACAGCTGGATACTCCTATTGACATAGTTCCTTGTCAACAAGTCCGCGGTTCTTGGAGTTGTTGTGGGTCATCCCTGTATCATCTTCTATTACATCAGAAACTCATCATGGTTTTGAGCCAGTTGGGATTCCTGGGATGTTACAATAATCCTTCCACACAATCTCATGCGTCGAATGCGAACGAATATCTTTGAAGGCTCTTGCTAGCTAGTTGATGCTAGTTGCATCTGGCTATACATCAACTGCATGCGCAAATTCCAAGCTTTCGGTGTGACTAGAAAATAACATGCATTAATTTGGGAAACATATGGACAGATCACCAGCCCCTTGTGGGTCCAATCAACGAACCCCGCTTTGGAGCTGGCATTTCGCATCATTTCACCATAAAAAAGAAAGGTGAAAGTGAAAGGTTATTTTCTGCCCCGGGTTCCACTGCAGAAAACTGGCAGCAAGTGCGGATTTGGGGAATTAAGCATCAACCATCAGCTATTTCCCCATATCCCTAGTCTTCTTCCAGCTCCCTTAGGAGTTCCCTGGCCTGTCCGGGGCCGGGTTCATGACGTGTGATCTGGGTCCGCTCGTGCAGCAGCACCACATACCTCGGTTCATCTCGGTCTCAATCTCCAGGGATTGGGATTTCCCCATCAAATCATTACTGAGGGATGGTCCATCAGTTTTTCTGGTTGGTGGTTGACCTACCCCTCTGAAAAATATTAGTCAAATGGGAGGAGTGAGTATTATTCCCAATATATGGAACAATAAAAAATGTTCCAAACCACCAACCAGTTTTTGTTTTTTCTGAGGAACGTGTGGGAAGCAATTTTTCTTCGGGATGTTTTTGTCCCACGATGTTTCCATCTGGACAGTCGGGAATGGTCTTTTCCCAGGTTCGGATTCAACGGGCCCTGTCCGGGCTCGGTATGGCGAGGTTTTGTCCAACGGATCTTCAGCTCAAGTGGGGTAAATATGGCCACGCCCTGTTTAACGTGGAACTGGAATTGTGGTATCTGTTAATATCTTTTGGACATGTTTGCGAAGAACCATGACGTTTCATGATAGGTGATGCTTATAACGTGTGGGCCACCTCTGATATCCTCTTATATTTGGGAGCGAGCTGGGATGGTTCCAGCCAGCCTTGATCAGCCTTGGGGTGCAATCCATCTGCACAGAAGTGTGCCGTGTGCAAGATCACATAAGATCAAGTCAGTGACTTGATCATCAAATTTTGAGACTGAAGGCGGATGAACGCAGCATCCCCAACTCAGATGGACAATATGCTGTCTGAAGCAGTACCCAGGAGAGCGTGACTTAGCTTTTCCCACCGGATGAGCAGACTCAGTCAAGCACTCTGAGGGAAGCAAACACCACTGGTGTATTATTTCAGCGGTAAGCCAGTACATGGTTGTTGGCCACCGATTTCAGCAATGCTGGGTCAACAGAATTTATCGAACATGATCAACCACGACCCCGTTCTTGCCAGTCAATGGCCCCATCTTAGGTGTTTTCAATTCCCTCTCTACGATTCCCTTCCCCCTATGTTTGCTGGCTGACAGGTAGACCAGTAACTAGAATGGATCCATGAAATTCATTGACATTGCCTCCAAAAGAAACAAACAGATAGGGTCCCTCAAAACCCAACGCTTCTTCATCATCTGTTCATTTGAGATGCCATTTTCTTGGCACCATTTTGGGATATTCACACATCTGAAGGTGGGTTTTCCTCCAAATCTCCGCAGTTGCCACGTCTTTGCTAAGCGGCTCCCGCTGGGAGAGGAGGATGGCATTACGGATTTCGTGCCTGGCGATCTAATTACCGGAAACCTAAGGGTTTACCTGGGATAAGCCTATTAGGATCATTCCATTGGGTAAGGCCCCTACACACTGTGGGATGACACACACACACACATTGCGTGTGTGTATTATCCCATTCATAAATGGGTTGCAATCCTAGTTACGAAGCACTTATTGAGTGGGATGATCCTCCAAGTACAAAAAAAATGGGAAACAACCATGGTTTCCGTTCGGACAATGATCTGCCTGTGGCAAACCGGGGATTTCCCAGCTTGCCATGTTTCATGACACCTGGGTACCCATCAGGGTGGGACAAGGTGAACAGTTGCCGTATGAGCAACGCAAGTGGGGAGTTTTTTGGCCAACGGTGGTTGAACAACAACAACAACAACAACCACTACCTTTTCACAGCCCCGAAACCCACCACGGAACATTTTTCTTGACCTGGAAGTGCCCAAAGTACCCAAGTGTATCCATCCCGTATCTCAGTATGTCTCCAAGTTGTTGCTTTTCCATCCCTGATTTCAAGGCATAATAATATATAATTAATCCTAGTTTATCCCTACACTGTTATTTATATCCATTCTATCCCCAAATTTGGGGATAAAACCTATATAACCATTTCCACAAGACACGTTCTAAGGTGTAGCATCTCTCAGTATCATTGGCCGATATTATCCCACATTTCTATGGCCATCTGCCAGCACAGCCTGGTGCTGGGCCAAATGATCTTGGTGAAGGGTCCCTGTTCGACGGTCCGCTGACCGTTGATGATGTAGACCACCTGCTGCCTGTCGTTCACATACTTCACCTGCATCATCCCGTAAGCGACCAAAAGGGTGGTAGATCAAGCATTAAACATGGGGGGGTTCACGATAAACAGTTGCTGGTTTAACCATGACCCATGGAGAGTTAATATGTGTGTGTATATATATATATATATAGATAGCCTGAAATGAAGAGAGACAGAGAGAGAGAGATATATATATATATACTCCTGGTGTATATAGCACAGAACTACATAGAAATAGCCGATATACAGTACTTGATACCCCCATGTGGACCCAAAAAATGAATAGATCCGACACTCAACCACGGTTTCTATGGGGGTATTTTATCCTGGGGCGAAGGGGTTATTTTGAAACCACCAGACAGGCACATATTGCATGACACGATGCAATGAGATGATGCTCGCTGTAAGCATTTAAGCTTGTTTACAGGCTAATACAAGTTACCCAGCTGTGAAACACTCCTAGAAGCGTGATCAAAGTTGCATTCAAAAGCAACAACTAGGTTTGGAATGTCATCAAAACGATCAAACTGGCCATATCCATCATGTTCATCAGCCAAACAAACATAATCTTTGGGCCTTCAGGACCACCCAAGAAATAGAATCAAATCCCACTATCAGAAACAAAAAACGAGAAAACTAGCGATCATCGAGCCTATTTTCGAATTATTTCGACCCTAAAATTGGGGTAGTTCTCGATCAGATCAACAGATCAACCAACCAACAGGGCTGAGGTGCGCTGGTACCCAGAATGATGAAAAAGATCAACCATCCAAGGCAGCATCCACCGCCTAAACAGTGAGAGGTGGTGCACAGAAAGAAACCCTCCGAACATGGGTAGGGGAGACAGCCCTAAAAAACCGCATTGAAATGGAGAAAACCGGAAAAACTAGATCTATGAATGGTGAGTTTTCACCGGGTATACACCAACTATACATGGTATTGAACATATTGAGTGTGTTGAGAATATGCATTTGCGTAACCCCCAAATAGATACGTGCCTCGATCCTCACTATTTGAATGGGATTCTATTTGTCCATCTTGTTGGAGGTTGCTATAGTGACAAGGTTTCCTGCAAACAATGGGAATCAATTTCCCCAAATTACAATGGTATATTACCCCATAAATTTAGTTGAGTATACTATGGGGACCTAAAATTGCCCGAGTATGGAATGATTACTCAAGTATATGTTTTCAAACAATTACTTCACCAAGGTTCACCAGCTACTTGCTCATTGTTCCCCATAGTCGCTAAGCCCCATCTTGATGGTCCTCCCCCAGTACCCCACTGTCTACACCAGTTGGGGAATCCCAATGGTAGCTGCTAGCAATGGGCACGCCGGAATAGGTCAAACAACATGTGGAAGTCTGAATCTATGCAATCTGCATGCTTGGCTGGATATGATCGAAGCATCTCCGGCTCCTGAACTGTCTGAGTCTTTGGCTTTGTTAAAGGGGTACTGAGTAATGTCAACCCCGGGTTAATAAACAATTGTTTATTAATTGGGGTGGTACTCCTCCAATAGTCATAATCTGATACTTAAATCGTACCCTCCCAATTAAACAGCCTAGGGGTTTATTAATCCAGGGTTGACATTACTGTAAAGTCAGTCTCAAAATGGATCAAGATGGTATGCTGATCGAATAAGACCGCCGGACTGCCGGATGGGATCCATCTCCCATTCCCCCCTGGTAAACCAACATGGCTATGGATCATCAGCCTTTTCAATGGGTGAATCAACGAACTAAATCTCCATCTATAGTTGATGTTCCCTGGAAAAATCCCCCATGGAGATTCCATTAAAACACCATTGTTCTTGGCTAAATCCGATATAAATATATATATATATTTAAATCCCGTTTACTGTATTCATTTTCATATAAATCCCATATAAATGGTGGTTGAAGCTCCATTCATCACCAAGTTTTCCAGTTTTTTGTTAAGCGAGGCGCCACAGACTTTCAGGGCACACTTCTTCTCATCGCTGGGGTCATCCATAGCGGTCCCCTGCCCAGCACAACAAAACTGACCATTGGTTTACCATTATTAACCATTACTGGTTGGTGGTTGACCTACCCCTCTGAAAAATATGACTTCGTCAGTTGGGATGATGACATTCCCAACTGAATGGAAAATAGAAAAATTACTTTACTTCGTGCGATCCCCACCATGACATTTATACATTTTCTTACTGGCAAATCTTCTGGCATTCTATCTGACATATCTTCTGACATTCTATTTGGCATTCTATCTGGCATATCTTCTGGCATATGATCTGGCATATCTTCTGGCATTCTATCTGGCAAATCTTCTGCCATTCTATCTGGCATATCTTCTGGCACTCTATCTGACATATCTTCTGGCATTCAATCTGGCATATCTATCTGGCATATCTTCTGGCATATTTTCTGGCATTCTATCTGGCAAATCTTCTGGCATTCTATCTGGCATTCTATCTGGCATATCTGCTGGCATATTATCTGGCATTCTATCTGGCATATCTTCTGGCATATATTCTGACGTATCTTCTGGCATTCTATCTGGCATTCTATTTGGCATTCTATCTGGCATATCTTCTGGCATATCTTCTGACATTCTTTCTGACATTCTTTCTAACTTTCTTCTGCACATTCTTTGTCCCATATCTTCCTACATGAGGTCCGGAAGGGAACACTTGGCATGGATACCCACGGTTGAGGTCCGGCAGGGAACACTTGGCATGGATACTCGCAGATGAGGTCCGGCAGGGAACACTGGGCGTGGCTGGTCGTGGTTGAGGTCCGGCAGGGAACACTGGGCGTGGCTGGTCGTGGTTGAGGTCCGGCAGGGAACACTGGGCGTGGATGGTCGTGGTTGAGGTCCGGCAGCGAACACTGTGGCTCGCGGGTCGCAGTTGGACGAGGACGACGAGGACGACGAGGACGACAAGGACGACAAGGAGGACGAGGAGGAGAGGAGGAGGAGAGGAGGAGGAGGACGAGGCAGGAGGCAGGAGGCACGAGGCAGGAGGAGGCAGGAGGAGGCAGGAGGCGGCAGGAGGAGGAGGCAACTGACATAAAATCTAACAACCCTCACCTGGCAGGTGGGGAAAAATTACTTTACTTCGTGTGATCCCCACCATGACATTTATACATTTTGTTACTGGTAAATCTTCTGGCATTCTATCTGACATATTTTCTGGCATTCGATCTGGCATTCTATCTGGCATTCTACCTGGCATATCTTCTGGCAGATGTTCTGGCAGATGTTCTGGCATATCTTCTGGCATATCTTCTGGCATATCTTCTGGCATTCCATCTGGCATTCTATCTGGCATATCTTCTGGCATATTATCTGGCAAATCTTCTGGCATTCCATCTGGCATTCTATTTAGCATATCTTCTGGCATATTATCTGGCAAATCTGCTGGCATTCTATCTGGCAAACATTCTGGCACTTTATCTGGCATATCTTCTGGCATTCTAGCTGACATTCTATCTGGCATTCTATCTGGCATACCTTCTGGCATTCTATCTAGCATATCTTCTAACATTCTATCTGGCATATCTTCTGGCACTCTATGTGGCATATCTTTTGGCGTGGATACTCGCGGTTGAGGTCTGGCAGGGAACACTGGGCGTGGATGGTCGTGGTTGAGGTCCGGCAGGGAACACTGGGTGTGGATGGTCGTGGTTGAGGTCCGGCAGGGAACACTGGGCGTGGATGGTCGTGGTTGAGGTCCGGCAGGGAACACTGGGCGTGGCTGGTCGTGGTTGAGGTCCGGCAGGGAACACTGGTCGTGGATGGTCGTGGTTGAGGTCCGGCAGCGAACATTGTGGATCGCGGGTCGCAGTTGGACGAGGACGACGAGGACGACGAGGACGACGAGGACGACGAGGACGACAAGGACGACAAGGAGGACGAGGCAGGAGGCAGGAGGCACGAGGCAGGAGGAGGCAGGAGGCGGCAGGAGGAGGAGGTAACTGACATAAAATCTAACAACCCTCACCTGGCAGGTGGGGAACAAACCACCATCCAGATTATAATGTCCATGGTCAGTTCACACCATCTATGAAGAATATTTCAATGGAATTAACCATGGTTTTCATTGAAACAATCAAAAACTAAACACTGAACATATAATCTTAAGACAACTTCAGAGGTGCAGCAACATAAGAAAAAGGGCAAACACAGAAGAAACAATGTATATATATATATAGAATCGAACAAATTCAAAATCAAACAGAAACAATATATGGAACTATAGGTTTCGAATGCAAACACATGGGTCACCCAAACTGCCCCGAAGCAATGTCAGCACAAATGACTTTGTCCAAGACCAGAGAATCTCATGGTTTTATCATCATGTTTTATCATAATTTTCTTCATTCAAACTGCCATAAGTTGGGGTATACCCCCTGGACAAACCCAAATGGACACATTCTCCACACCTGCAGCGCTGGAGGGGCGTCCAAGTACTTTCGGATAGGTGCAGCCGGTAGGACTTGAGCCTTATAGAGATATGATGAGACTCATGGTATTTCCTGAGCCATCAGTGAACCTCAAATCATCCAAAAATTGTCCTTTGAATAGGGCAACTCTTATTTAACACCCATAGTGAGTCATCTGCTTGGTGGCTTTGGTCAGCTCGCATCTCCATTGGAACAGCTTGGTACGTTTTGAGGATGTCGGTTTTGGTTCCATCAAAATCTACCTCGTATGGTAAATTGCCATTGGGCAAAAACATGTTTTTTTATTGCAAAAACAACAGTGTTTTTTTTAATCAGCCTGCCTGCCATAAACTTGTAAACAACTTCAAGCACATATGGTAAACCTGCATATTGTAGTAGAGCTAAAACTCAATGCCATCGCTAAAAAATCACGAGAAGGTAAAAGGTATGATTATAGCAGGTTTGCGTTTCATTCGCATGGCTCGGGGCCAGCAGTCATATATCTCTCTTGATCATCTTCCTACCTTCAACCTCAGAACCCATCTGCAAGCGATCTGAGCAGCTCACCACCCTTTTGAACTGCACAGCCAGCGTCAGCCGCCACGCGGTGCCAGCGAAACCAATTTTTCTCAGTGATATGTCCGGCAAGTTTCAATCAAACTGCTTTGGGATGTCGGGTTTGAGGCTGTTGACCACACCACTAGTCCCTTGAAGTATACATGACACGTCAAAACAATTATATATTATACAATATGTATATATATATGTATAATTTTATGTATATATATAAATATCTATATGTATATGTGTGCGAATATCATTTCTTCCTTACAGCCTTCAAAAACCTCAGCCACCTGGGAAGGCCTGGGAGTATTCGGGAGATCCAATGGTCCGAGGTCGACATCCGTAGCTCCGAACAGCTCCATTCACTGTTGCGCTTCATCACTTGGGTCTCATCTTGCATCATCTTAAACAGGGCTATAACCAAATAATTATTAAATATTATACCCCAGTTAGGTACTAACTATTGTACAGTATACAATTATCCCATCATTTCTCATGTTTTCCCATCGTTTTTCGCTAAACCACAACTAGATATCACTAGAACCAAACCATAGTTTCTCACATATGGTTGGATTTATATGGATTTACCTCATCGCCAAACACTCACTTGACTCAGAATGTAAAATAAATAAATATATCACTTAGCCAAAACTAAAACACTTCCGTACATATACACCTACATTATATTAAATATATAATATTATATAACTAATATTATAAATATATTAATATTATATAAATATAAAATGATATATACATATAATATATCTACAATGATACATAATTAAATATATAATTATATATTATATGTATGATATATATGTGATATATGATGTATATACTGTACATAGGCTCTACCCCTGGATCTCCCTGGAAGCCCCTGCTCGGCTCACTGCCGCACGTGCACCGTACTGCGATCTGGCAGGACGTCCAGGTGACAGGAGCCGCGGGCACGGTGCTCCATCCAATCCTCAGGGACGTAGACAAAGATATATATATATATATGTATAACAGCCATTAGTAACCATTAGTTAACCATTATTAACCATTACTGGTTGGTGGTTGAATATGATAATAATCATCCATAATAACCAAAAAAAATCATCATCCATTGGTTAAACATTATTAACCATCAATTCACCATTATTAACCATTACTGGTTGGTGGTAAAACAACCCCTCTGAAAAATATGATTATGAGTTCGTCAGTTGGGATGATGACATTCCCAATATATGGAAAAAGAAAAAATGTTCCAAAGCACCTACCAGTATATATATATATATGTGTAACTATATGATATTGTAAGATGATATGATCTTATGTACATATATATATATATATATATGTTTGTGTGTGGGTAGCAACCTCCAAATTGATAGAACAGTTGGAGAGCCGGAAGAAAAACTTGTTCATCCGTTTAGGAACCCCTATGTTGTGTGCGTTATGTGTAAACCAAGAGGGGGTCGTCGTTCTAAGTCTCAACATGTCTTGACCAAGGATACCCCCGTGGTTCGCTGGTCTGGAATCCCTGCGAGGATATGTGAGGATGCATGCCATAGTTACGGATGCACCAACCATTCACCAAGGTGTACCCAGAATATGATGAGGAAAGCCAGAACCATCATCCCAATAGAAAGTATTAGAAAGTCATCAGCCAAAGCAACTCCTCGCTTCAGAGGTCATCGCTAAAAAAGTTGACCGCTGGTGAAGCGGGAGAATCATCCCAAGGACTGTCCAGTAAGTTAAGACAAGTTAAGCATGGCTTGTGAGTGCATTAGATTGAACATATCACATCTTTAAGACCCTCAAAGCTGTACTGCTGCGACAGATCTGGGGTACCTGCTGCTCTTTTGTCGATCTTTCAATGGCAGACAATGCAATAATGTTGTATAAACACGATGCGCAGTACTATTGAACCAACACAAAAAAGCCTCATCCTTGCTGCTTCTAGCCACTCCTTTGATTGGACTCCCACATTTTCATAGCTTCATAACCCCTATTTCTGTCTCAAAAGCAGCAAGGCACCTCGAGTTGCGACTCGGGGCAGGCGCATTGAGCCCGGTAGTACTGATACTTGCACCTGCCGCCGAACGGTGCCAACAAACACATGGCTTCAACAGTGGGAATTGTGGCCATGGGTGGATGTGGATATATGTGGGTGGTATGATTGCTGCCAACATGAACAGATTTGCGTAACCTACAACATTCTATAACATACATTCCATAGTTTTTAAGAGAACAGTTGGAATTCATTGCGGTCAACGGTGCGCGGGTCCTGTCTGCAGTGTTTTGTGCGCAAAACGCATGGATGGCTACAGCCAGCCATAGCCAGCCCTTACCACTTGGGACTTCGGTGGTCTTCGCACTTGTTGGAGCCCATGGGTGCTTAATAGAATTCTCATCTAAAATCATCTATAAAAGTTGTTGAATAAAGATCAACGAGAAAAAGCCCAGATCATCTGAGCTTTTGCCGCCCACTGACCTGGTGTCCTCTTCTCCCAGTTCGCGCGCGCAACGCGCGAAGACGATGAAGCGCAGGATGCCTCAGGTCGGGAAACAGTCGCAGAAAAACCTGGAAGGGAAACAACCTGGGATACATTGGATACCATCTGATTATTTAACATAGCCATGGAAAATCACCATTTTTAATAGGTAAACCATCTATTTCTATGGGTAATTTTCCATGGCTATGTTAAATAACCAGAGGATACATTTTAGCAGGCACCCCCATCTCAGGGTTCAACAAACGCAAGGTTTCCAGTGAAATTGCGATATTATATAAACTCACCCGTTGAAGAGTGGAACTCCTGGGTGTAAACCACACTTCCATCTTCCTGGTACAGAGCTTTGCCACCTCCTTGGTCGTTTCAACTGTGATCACTGAAAGTAGCTCGCTTATCAGAAAGGTGTGGGTCCAATCTAGTCGTCAACACGAAGATGGATATAACAAACAGGGAAAGGAGTTGATAACGTGATAAACAAACACTGGTTCACTCAAAGCATTTGGATGTCATCAAAGACCCGAATTCGCAAACACACAAAACGGTTTTCTGCCAACAGGGTCAACAAGAGCCAATAAGTAGGCATTGTTACAATTTTACGAGCTAAACATGTGATGATCCACTTGAATAAGCACTGAAAACAATTCAATGGATTGGTAAGTGGTTTCTGATGGTTTCTGATGGTTTCTGACCTTCAAACAATGTCCCAGTCATGTTTGGTGTTCTGTCTGAAACAATGCTCTCAACCTCAATCCCAATTTCGGGGGTCAGAACGTGGATTTAATGATAAACGGCCAAAAGCTGAATTGTTAGACTTGATTCGTCTATTCCTCCATTTACAGCCAAACATCATAGTACCACCCACAAAGATCGAAGAGTAATTCAGCGCCAGGTTGGTGATTTTTTGCTCTCAACTCAACCATGATTACCCTCCAGTAATGAAGCATGGCAATGAACACTCCCATTTTATAAGTTGATTTTCCCAACTGGGGTTTGATAATCATGTTTTATAATCATGTTTTATCCCTATTGATGGTTTTTCTGACCGGAGGTCACCTTTCTTCAGACTGCAAGCTTTACTGGTTGGTGGTTGACCTACCCCTCTGAAAAATGATGGAGTTCGTCAGTTGGGATGATTAAATTCCCAATATATGGAAAGTCATAAAATTCATGTTCCAAACCACCAACCAGTATGTATATATATATATATGATTAGAAATCCACTATAATTTTTGCCATTTTCAATAGCTATGTTAGTTTACCATAGTTTATCAAAGGGTACATCAGAAGCCCAGATTTGTTCAGCTCAGCTGCAGTGGTTGGACTGGTTGGTCAAGGACAGGAAGCGCGGGTCGTCCATGTGGGGATGGGCTGCGTTGACGGCATCCAGGTGCCCGGCGCTGAAGACTTTCCTCGGGATGGCTCCAAGGCTCCAAGGGAATCTGGGGTTGACATCAAGTGGGTATTCAGATGTAGACCCACTGGATGTGGGTGATTTACAGGGGTAGAAATTTCAACCCACTTGATGTACTTGATGTCAACCCACTAGTCACTAGATGGGTATAAATGTGAATGTGGGTATTAAGCATAGGAAAACCCATAAAAAATATTATTTGTTTCAAGGGAATATCCCCATTGACAATATTGACATGTGACATCATGTGACTTAGGGGTACGTTTCCTGGGATGTACATCCGTACCTGAACAGTTTCCCCTAAGGCATCTAGCAAGCCAGGTGACGCCGCAGTGAGATCGTTAAAATTTATCCAGAGGATTCCAAGAGGTATAAATGCATTGCTACGCCATTCAAATAGTACCCTAGCTTAGACCAAACTAACACAGATGTGGAACATCAACCATCTGTAGACTTTCCTGGGAAAACCATGGGTGTTCCGCATCTCTGTATGTTTCCCCTCGTAGTGGTAGCCCACTGAACCATTGCAGCCCAGAAGCTCCTTTGCACTCGTCATCTGCGAAAGCGGCGACGACAACTTTTCGGAATTGGTGCAGCGACGAGCCACGTGGCTGCGTTTTTTTTGTTCGGTAGCGGGTGGTGAATGGGCTCCCATAGATCTTATTCGCAGGGCACTTCGCCGGGATTTGAATGGGTTTTATATGAACTGAACTGGTTGGTGGTTTCAACCCTACCCCTCTGAAAAATATGCTCATCAGTTGGGTATATGGAAAAAATAAAAGCCATGTTCCAAACCAATCATGCATGCAGTTAATATATGTTTATGATATACGCTCATCCCTATGGTTGGGCAACTCCATTATCTGCGAGGCTGTGGGTTATTAATCTGAATTGTCTAGGAAAGATCTTCTGAATGGACAAAATGATGTAATTTGTTGGACAAAAATATTCAGATACACCTGTGTGGTTTTCATGCCGACTTCTAACTGGCAAAACTCATCAAACATCCAACTTTGATTGGTTACATTAAAGGGGACGACTGTTTAACTGTTTGCAGGTTGATAACCCCATCCAAACACTTCGATATACACACCATAAATCCAGCAGTTGTCAACACTTGTTATACTTACCATCACGGACAGTAATAATTTCATTGTTATGGTTGTTATGTGGTTATAGTTACCATCATGTTGTTATAGTTATAAACCATCATAATTAGTTGTTATAGTTATAAACCATCAAAAATAATATTTATACCGTATACCATCATTACAAACCAACTATAGTATGGTTACCGTCCAATATTTATCACATATTACGCTTTGGTTATTTAACATGACATAGCCATGGAAAATCATCATTTTTAATAGGTACATCATCTATAATTGGGTCATTTTCCATAGCTATGTCAATCATGTTCCATAGCTATGTTAAATAACGGGATGGTATTATTTTTATCCAATGGATCGATTATAGTTTAGCTATATTTATAGTAGTTATTTTCATAATAGTTATGCTGGTTGGTGGTTTAAACTCTCTTAAAAAATAGTCAGTTGGGATGATTCTTCCCAACTAAATGGAAAAATAAAAGCCATGTTCAAAACCATTATTAACCATCATTAACCACTATTATTGGTATATAATCCCATTATAAAGATGATTATCCCATTATAATCCCATATAATACCCATATAATCCAATATAGTTCTAAAGCAATTCTTCCCCATGCAGCCAGGGCCTTTCACGTGGCCTCAACTCACCAGGGCATCGGACTTGGCCGCGGCCGTGCGCCGGGCCACCTGGGCTAACCCAGATGGTGCCCTAAAACAATAGCGAAGTCAGGTTATAAATAACTAGGCTATAGGTGTATGTAATAATATCATAACTTCAAACGATACCATACCAACCTACATAAATTATCATAAATTGTTATAAGTTATAAGTCCAATAACTAGGGATTGTGTAGGTTTATAATGAAAACTATAGTTGGTGGGATGTTCATAAACCAACTATTAAAACTGGGGGCCCTACCTTGTAAGTTAGTGGCAGAAATTCGGAGTAAAACTTGTTAGGAACCATGAAACATTGGGATTTTATGGGATTTATATATATAATATATATATATATAACAGTAACAGCATGATTCTCATTTCATGTAACGCGCAAACATGGGCGATTCCGCTCCGATCACAGGTGGGATCGAGCCTCCATGGACACCACCACCGAGAGGATGGACACTGCCTCAGCCAAAAATGCGCTTAGGCGATGGATTTTTTAGAATGGTTTACTTGGGTTTAATTGGGATATCATGGGATTTAAACCAAGTTTATAAACCATTCTAAACAAACCCAAATGAATTGGGATATACCATTGAATACTGGATTCTTAGGCGATGCATTTCATGGGATCTACTATCCCCTGGTTTAATGGGACCATGAGAATCGGCTGACCCGATGCCACTCGGCCAGGGCGCTGTGAGGGAGCTTTGGTTCGCAATCTTCATCATTTCGTCCACGCTCATTGCCTCAGGACCCATGGCAGGACGCAGGACGCAATGCCAAGTAGACAAAGGATATCAAGGGATAGGGAAACTGTAGCTAGCCTACTCTGAAATCACTGAACGTGAATAAAAGTGACATGGCGGATGCTGGAAATCAAGATGATCTTCGATTCCTTTTTCATCCCAAGGGTTTGGCTGCAAAACGTTGAAGGAAATGGCGGGGAACCAAGTCTGAACCGGTTGATGTTGCCTGTCTCGACCAACTATCATTAAGTCAGCTAGAAAACCTATCACCAAGATGCTCCATGTATGGAATATTTGGGCCATTTTGGGGGTAAATGCAGGTACATATTCCATACATGGAGCATCTGGGTCATGGAACAAAAACAACTTGTCTATGTACGAAGGTGCAACTTCCACATGGGAACGCGACTTGGCCAAAATGATTATTCCCTGAAAATGACCCACCATTTGTTGGCCCATTGCTACCATTTGCTACCCAAATGACTCGGCCCACACCCATGAATTCATGGTTAAACTCTTGAATTACCTAGTTTCTAGATATTCAGATTTTAGATATCTAGATTCAATCGACCCATTCTTCTTGGTTAAACATGAACAGACCAAGCTAACCCTCAGCTTCGCTAAATCCAGCCGGGTCCCGGACATTGACCTGCTCAAGAGTCACCGCGGACACCTCTTCGGATGGAGCACTCTTGGAATGGAATATCCCCAGAGTTTTGGGGTGGGATTATTTTTTTCCAAGCATGTTTGCCCAGAAGTTTCACTTCATCTTTAGCTGGAGAATTCCCAGACTTTTGACATTGATTATCAATTTTACGGTTTTCGACTGCGGGGAAGTCGTGAGAACATCAGAGATGCATAGTCAAAACGAAACAAGTCAAGGCCTCGAGGCCGGTTTTGCTGCTGACACTGGGGCTTGGCTTCCATGTGTTTCAGCTTTGGTTTCATTTATGAGGGTAAACCATGGTGACAAATATATAGATAGATTAGATTAGAGTGGATTTAATTTATACAATTTGATTTAGATTATATAGTTTAGATTAGACTGGATTAGATTATATAGATCAAATCATATAGATTAGACTATATAATATAATATATATATAAATGTGCGTATGTAACTATGGCAAAAAACATGTAAGACAAGTTAAGTACAAGCGCCACTATTTTCACTGCCTGATGCTGCCAGCGAGAAATCACTCGAGGTAACTCTCAGGCGCGAACGCTGAATCCATCAAGGTTCACCGTGATCAGGGTGCCCTCAGTCGAGCGAAGGATTTTTGGTAAAGCAATAGGATCCACCATCACCAAGTTTACCAGCTTTATGGGTGGTATAAACCCTCCAAATATGGGTGGTTTATTTTTGTTGATTGCTTTACTATGCTTTACTAAGATTACTCGGCATGATCCATTTGACCATGGCCACACAGGGAACTGAAGAAGCAAATCCAGGAGTGAGATTGGTCAACCAACACTGTATCAACCTTCATCACCATCACATGGTCACCATCACCATCATCGTCACCGACATGCATAAAGCAATACATGTCAATCATCAACCCACATCCTTTTGCTTCTCTTTCCCAATATTGATATAACAGAAAGGGTGAAAAAAAAGGAGGCAAACCTTCCATCAACATCCGCTTCTCTTCGGAAATTTGATACACCTAAGTCATCTATATATTTAAGCTGCAACAACCAGAACAAGAGGATCGACATCCGCCCCGGACATCCCGGATCCCACATGGAGGATCATCCCACGGATCGCAACTGGTTTACAATACTTTCCCATGTATACGTTTTGTTATGTTTTGTTGGCTCCTGACTGGCCACTAGCTCCAAGGCTTGGTCTTTGCCACAAAACTTTCCCATCTATAATTGGCTTATATCACTTATATCCCCACAAACGCTACCCTGCTTATGATTTCTGGGATATTAGGGTGATACTGGGGCTTGAACCATCCTACGATTACCCCATTATAATCCCACTTTTATCCCATACTATAAATGGTTTACAACTATGGTTACCAACCAGCTCCGAGTCACATAACGACCATATTGATCATATTGGGGTTACTTAAGAATAGGGGTACCCCCCATATCAACCATGACTTAGCATTGAAACCCATGGTGACTTGGGGATCCCCCATTATACGAACCCCCCCAAAAAGATCAACCCGTACATCGTCCTTTTTCTCCACAGAAGAGCCACGCGCCATGCGCGCTTCGTTCCCAGCGCCTATATAAGTGTCATGTCCGGGCATGTACGCGTGTCAAGTGGTGGTGGTTGTCCCAGGCCTGCGTTATGAAGCCGGTGATGGCTGAAGCTAAGGAGGTGAAGGCCACCAACACCTGAAGGGCGGAGCTTGGTATATTATACAACCAACAACCAAGCACCAACAACAACCAGCAAACAATGGTGGTATCATAATATGATAATATGATACATTATTATTATGATGGTGATGATTATAATAATAGTTATGATTTGTCTTATTATATAGATATAAAATATAAATGTAAAAATATAATACATTTATATACATACATATATACATACATATATATACATATATATATATACATATATATATATATGTGCGTACATATAAAAGTATATGTATATATACACATATTATGCTTATTATGGGTTATATATACCTTACAACATATTATAGCAATCAACGACAATGGTGGTATGAATGCCGGTAACATTTTAGTCAAGACAACGTTGAAATAATTAGTAATTCCCAAAGCTTCGGAATCATCACTTGGGCTCCAGAATCCCGGCCCTTGGATATCACAAAGAATCAGGGATTATTTGGTCTTCTCTGAAAAGTATTCTGCCGTAGATTCCGTTGGCTTTTCATCATTCTTTTCCAATCAACGATGATTCTTGACATCCCCATTTTCAGACCCATTTCTGGAAATGTGAGCATAATCCAGGCGTTTTTCCAGAACAAATCTGGCAAAAACTACCGGGCCGTGTTTTCGCAGCCAAAGGGACGAAGATGATGCCGGCGCACCATTTATACATGCCCTTCACCTCAGTCATGACCAGTGCATCATTTCTGATCACTGCCCTGCAATATCAGACATGTGAAGGCCATCAGAGCGGATCCCAGAAACGAATTCATGGCAAATCTTAGACATATACCCTGCAAAAATTGACACACAGCTACGCAAAAAGGTTCCTCATTTAGCATATTGTAGCTTAAAAAGTCAGCCTCCACAACCAACCTCCGATTTTTTTTGATCTGGGTTTGACCTTCTTGAAGGCCCCACTGAACTCTGAAGCACTTCCCAATCTGGGAAACCATCTCCATGGTCTCAAGTCCGCCCCATGGGCAAAATGGGGATTCAACCACCCTCCCAATTTCGGTGACCACCTATATAAATCTATGTAAAACAAGCCACTGAAATTGCTACTTGTTGTTGGTGGCTGAGGTTAAGCCCCAATTAGCCCAAACATTCTTGGGAGGATCACCGAGAATGTTTAAACGGGCAGCATCTCACCAGGAAGTCTATTAAGCTATCATGGCCCGTTTTCTTTTAATATGATGCATATGACGCTTCCGTGATCAGTATCATATAAATTCCATCTGCAGCATTTAAACTATACTAAAGGTAGATAGTCAAATAATGTGCCAATGATCATGGTACCTTTTCCAATATTTACGAAGTTATACCAAAGATCAATCGGCCAGCAAAAAGGCACCTTCAGTAATGACATGTAATGACGCATGCATAAATAAAATGATGAGCAACAAACATGAGATACTTAAGACAAAATTTATAAGTATAATTAAATAGATATAGATATAAAACAATGCACATGCGAATGCCCGTATAAATATTTTTGCACTGACGAACAGAAACGTACAGATTACTACACATTTAAGTAATTTAATTTCCATAAACCATATAAACTTGCTATCACCTGCCACCCTTAAATGGTATACACCAACAGCCCGTTGGAATCCCAGGTGCGCGCACGACCTCGGGCAGTACCGGACTGATGGCCAGCAGGTAGAGGAAGCCCACAGCCACGGGCATCAGAATCCCGTCCAACAGTTCCACCCAGACCTCCGTCGAAAGCATCGAAGCTGCGGCGAGATTTTCTGTTCGCAACGAATTGGCGGGATCTTTGAAGGGATTGGTGAATAAGGATGAAATAGGAGGATTTTGTGGTAAACATTGGCTTTTGGTACTTTTGATGTAGTTTTTCTGAGTGATTGTAAATCTGTTCATTGTTGGTGTGCGGTTGTGGTTGTGATGATATTTGTCTTTCTTATCGGAATTATGAGAATCATATCTCTTGTTCCCTTGTGTGTGTGTCAGGTACCCTCCACAGCTAGAAAATAGTCGCAATTCCTCAGAACAACTTGTTCCCCCCTATACATATATATATATATAAAAACAATTAATTATATATATATATATGTGCGCGCGTGATTTCCCAGCTATATATATAATTATATATATAGCACTTCAGCCACAGCATTTCACTTAAACAAGAGACGTTGAGCCGCACGGTGTTGACGCCCGACAACAGGACCAAAGCACCCAGTAGGACCACTGAGAGGAAGCTGCCGTAAAAGAAGGGTGCCTAGGCGTCATTGGGGCCATGCAGTCACGTAATAAACAATGGGTAACCTATCCAAGTGGCTAACCATGGTGCTGGAACATTAAGGCCCTGAAATTACACAGTTCGTCAAATCCTGCTTCTTACTGGTCAAACCATCATGTCTGTCAGTGAAACCAATCACATATCAATAGATATAGACTTAGATTTAACATGATTTTGCTAGGTTGGTACCACCAACTTGGTATGAAAACCCTTCTAACTTCCTATCAGCCCACTGCAACCTCAATCCAGTTCCAATCATGGTTCATTCAAGTTAACAATGTTCGATCCTGATTGGCTTTGTCCTGGTCAAACACCATAATTTCCCTTGACCCCCTTTACCCTCTGGTAATTTAACATAGCTATTGAAAATGACCTTTTTTAATGGGAAAACTCACTATAAATGGTCATTTTCAATAGCTATGTTAGTTTACCAGAGGGTATTCCCCCACCCAGCCAGCGGCCCAGCGTCATCCCTGGGCGACTGCTCCAGCGCCGTCACCGCGTCGTCCGACTCCGCGGCTTCGCAGAGGGCCCAGGTCGCCGCCAGTGACACCACGAAGGCAGCGCAAAGGGAACCGCCAAGGAAGGCCAAGGACACCAGGACCTGAGACGTGGATCCCAGGACGAAATAGTGGGTTGATGATGATTGATAGTAATGCTGATGGTTAATGATGGTGGTTGATGATGGTTGATGATGATTGATAATGGTAATGATGATGGTTAATGATGGTGGTTGATGGTGATGGTTGATGAATGATGATGGTTGATGATGGTTGATGATGGTTGAGGTGTTTAATGGGTATGGGTTGATCCACTTATATAATGGGATGATCATGAATCATGGATAATCTACTTTAGGGGACTGAGTAAGCAGACCCAGGCTCTGAGACGTGGACGTGCAGTTCAAGCCCTAGAAACAGCGTATATATCCAGTTATATATAATAAACGGATATACATAGTTTTCAATGGGAATATCAATCCATAAGTGGTTAAGTGGGATGACTTACTGACTTATATAACTGGCAAAGGACCATAACTGTGAAAAGACCTGGAAAAAGGTGGTAAATGGCAAGTTCCTGGAAAAAAACACATGGGAAAACTATTAGAATGGGAAATTACTGAAAAAATCTGCAAAATCATAGGAACAGCATTGGAGAATATAGGCCACATGCCACATATGGGAAACATGTGGGAAATGATTGGAAGGAGGGTTGCAATTTTCGAATTTACGGACTTGGGGGATGATGTATATGGATTTATACAGGGATGACCGTCCCCAAAACAGGATTTGAATCAATTCTATAAACGACCTGGTATTTCAATGGTGGATTGGTGCCCCCAAAATGCACAAATGGGGGGATGCCCCTCATATTCAAAGATAACGTCTTAATGGAAGCAAATGCTGATCATCAGTTTAATGGGGTACAGTTGAGGCCCTTTACCAGTTAATTATAGATGGTGGTAAATGGGCTTGTCATTCCATCACTGGGGGTATAAGTGACATATAACTGGTATTTCGGGCCATAGCTGCACGCTTTGCGAATGACTTTCCTCAGTCTTTTCTCCCATGAAACTCACCCCAGGTCATCCCCGGCCGCCTTGGAGCCCATCTCTCCAAAGGCAGGGCTGATGGCCTTCACGATTTCATCCACGCTGTGAAGGTCCTGGAGGCTCTGGTTTGTCTCTCAAACTTCCAGGGTTTTTTCATGTCGCCCATCCGACAATACCCAGGGAATAGTGAGGAAATTGATGGAAATTGTCAGGAAAAAGTATGGGAATGATGCAGATTATGATAAATGTGTATTTTCATCATTGTTTACCTCAACGCATGAAATTGTAATGCTAAATAATTATGTACCATATTTATCCATGGTTTAACGGCATATGAATATTTATAGGACACAAACTGGGTATCTTCAAAATTGGGGTGGCATGTGGCATATGCATGTGCATCACAAATTGCCTACCTACCATACTTGGTTGTGCATCCCGTTTACTAACTGGATCATACGCCCTTTTATCTGACTGGAGACATCCCCTGGACAGCTTAGCCACAGCATACTTCTTAATGACGTTACAGTAATATACAGTAATTCAAGAGCACCCAACAAAAAGTCGCCATGACTGCCCATTTTCAGACTACAAAACCATCTATATAACCATATCGAACCTATAACCATCAAGGGTATACCCCACGCTTTTTCCAAGCCCTTCACCTTGCACCCCTTGGCCCCGACGCCGTCCTTGTTGATGGATTGCGCGGCCGCCAAGGTCACCAAGGCACCGATCATGATGAGCTGCGTCAGCACGGAGCCCAGCAGCGTCCCGGTGCGTTCTTCGCTCATGGCCTTGGACGTTTGGAGGCGCCGAGCGACCACGGCGCTCTGCTGGAAGTAGACCATCCAGGGCATGATGACCTGGAAACCGGCGAAGGTTTAGGGTGGATGTGACAATGTGCCGGTGTGGTGCTTCGCATGGGGTGGTAGCAAGGTAGCAAACTCAACTACTTGATGTAAACTGACGGTTGGCGCAACAGGAACGGGGATGTAAACCCCCTCCAAAGGAGAATTTGCCCAACAAGAATGCGTACCTTCCCAGAAAACATCAAAAACACATCATTTTCGGGATAACACGTGGAGACTATTGGGGACTCACCAGCATGAAGTTTTGGATGTAACTTCTTGTGGGTTGGTTGTGCACGATCATCTGAGCACTGCCCAACCAGTTCCAATACTTGGATGTTGAGCAGATCGCTACTAGTAGGTGGGATGTGTGCGCGTGTAAGTGGGCAGTCAAATCCCATGATTTATAATATTTATAGTGTTTATTGGCTACACCAGGTATCCCCAGGGATTCCAGCCGCGCTTTTTGAGAAAACATCCAGCCCATCATTTTTCCTAAGTGGCTGCTCCGATGTTGGCGGAGATGAGTTTCATATACTCCGGATCCGCGAATCGGGCCGCGACATCCGTCATAATCGAATCCAAGGAGGGGTGATAGTATAGCATAGTGAGGACAAACGTCAGTTCCTCGGTGAGTTGTTGAGAGTGGTCGGTTCGTGGTCGGTGAAAATGGTCATTGGGCAACCCTGATGCGCCACGTGAGTTGTTGCTGGTTCCAGTGGTTTCTTGCTACTGTAGAATCCATGAGAGTTTCACAGCGGATATGGGGCTGGTGAACCATGTGTCAAGCATCCAAACTAAGGGCTTCGGTTTGGGGAAGGAATTGGCAGTTTCAGGCCCTTGCCCTTTTGAATGTTTTCTACACCTATTGTTCGCCCTCGGCAAATATAAACCCAAGCAGTGAGAAATAGATTGCGGGGAGAGTAGTTGGGGGGAGACTAGAAATTAAAGCATGGCAATGGACTACTTATAACTTATATCATGCTTACATCGAGTTAAAACAAACCCTCCTCTATTCCACACCGGCTAGTATAGCTGTGATGGATGATTTTCCCATTTAAAATTGATCGTTCACCATCATTTGTGGTGAGTTTCTGTGAAGTCACTATAAACTCTCCGCTTTTATTGGTGTCCTCACCACGCAAAACCGCGGGATTTTCCCTTGCAACACTGTCTTGGTGGTAGATATCTTTAGTGGGTCAGGTTGCGGCCTGAGAAGGTCACGGTTCGGTGTGGTGGCTGCCCCATCCCCACTCTGAAAATCACCCAATGCGATGGATCCAGACATGCCCATTCCAGTTGGTTAAATAAATTCCCATTAGGATTCACATATTCTTACTATTTGAAGTATGTGTGCGATGTTTTCCCAAGAATTATATCCCTATTTGAAGATGATCTCGACAAACAAAGCAGTTCAAAGTGCATTATATAACCTTAGTTACTAGAATAGTTAATCGGGTTTGTTATATCCCAACTGTGGGATATTACATGTAATCACATGTTCTTCCCATGATACCAGACATTCTGGCCACCCTGGCCACCCTGGCCCCGCCCCCTGGCCGGCCACCCTCAGCTCCGAGCATCGAAGGCTCCCAGCACGATGCCAATGGTCTCAATCTGTCGATAGGACAACCCAACCACCGTACCTGCCGAGTTCACCAGGTACTTCGCCGGCCAAGTCTCGATGAAAATACGCGGATTGTCCATGTGGCCAACGGTGAAATTACCGGAAGGTGAGGGATGCTCGGGGTATTACTGGGCTAATAAGAGTGGTTAAAACCTCTTGAAACGGAATGAACGGAGGTCTATATAGATCTATACCTTGGTTAACACCCCATGTCAATTGCGATAAATCAGGCTATCTCGCCTATTTCAAACTTATATCCCTGTCTCATTTGGTTTTCTCCGAAAATTGGAAACTCCAATGGCCCCAAAATTCACTCGCACATTTCCTGCCAGTTACCCCCTTATTTTATGCCAATATTTTTTGGGGTAATCATCCCACATGCTCCATCCTTTTAGAACCCCCTGCGAATTAGGGGGGTGGGGTTGGAGCCACCCATTTAGTAGTGGCCCCGGTATTTTTCTCTACAAAATGCCTTGCCTCAATCTACAAAATGTGTTGCCTGGAAATGTCTCTACAAAGTGCCTGGCCTTGGATACGCTTCTGCACTACAAAATGAGTGCCGAAAAGGGGTTAAAACAGGGTTGAATTTATTTTTTTTCATCAAGACAGTTTTCGAAGGCTGTTTTCAACCATCATTTAGGACCCAATTTGTAGACAAAAAACTGGCTCCGAGGGGCCCTGAGCAATTTGCAAAATCCAAAACCGCTTTGCGTGATCAATTTCAAGATATCCATTTTGTAGTAAACCCAAAACGCACCAAGAACCCAACTTGAAGGGAGTAAAACCACAGAAGGGTTCGCTGCATTTTTCCGTCTCAAGACTCAAAACCATGAGGAAACAAATTAGCAAGTGATCATGTTGTTCTCTGTGTGTGTCGGTGTTTTTTGGAAGGAACCACATGATGGGTGTCAAGAACCCAAGCAGCTTTGAAGAGTCTAAAGTCTTAAGTTGCACGTTTGAGGGAGAAAAAAAAGAACCACAACGCCAACCCATCTTGTAGGTGCTTGGAAGGAAGCCTGTCATTTTGTAGGGGCATGATATGTCAAGAACTCACAATTTGTTTTTAGTACTTCTCTTGGGGTGTCTTCGGCTATATGACTATATGCGCAGGAAATAGCAAAACACCAAACCATATTATAGCTGTTTCGACGGGGACCTCTCACTTTGTAGGGGCATGATGGAGGAACAGAAAATGTATAAATGCTTGCAAATATACTCTGCGCAGTCTGGAGGCCAGACCTTTTCAAGCATGTTAAGCAAGAAAATAAGAACAGCAACCCATTTTGTAGGGTTTTGAAAGGGACCTGTCATTTTGCAGGGGCATGGCATGGAAGAGAATAGTTTCACTAGAAATAGCTGCGATCTTTCTTAAGAAGGTAAACAACAATACACCAGTCCATATTGTAGACGTTCTGGCAGAAGACCTGTCATTTTGTAGGGGCGTGATGGGGGGTGGCTATACAGCAAATAATCAAAAATGCGCGTTTAAAACATATACTCGCCACACACAAAAGAGCGAGAAGAGAGCGAGATAGAGAAACAGAAACCTGGCAAATCAGGTGATACTTGGGTCTGTCGGTATTCCAAAATTTGAATTATATACAAGTGGAGTACTTTAGCAAAATCGCAACATGTTACATGTTTTCCAGAAACCCAATGGATTCACTACAAAATGCAGGGGTTCCAGTCTTGAAGAATCCGCCATGGGACCCGGTAATTCCACTACAAAGCGCCTGGCCTTGGAAAGTCCCTTTTTCGACCTAATTTCTATCTTCATCCATGGGCCCCGGTATTTTTGTCTACAAAATGCCTTGCCAGCCAAAGTAAAGTTGACGTGGGCCCTGGACCTTTTCACTAGGTCTAGGTGGCCTCACTACAAAATGACCCATAAAAACCAATTTTGTAGTGGCCTTAAGGCCACCCATTTTGTATGGGAAATTCGCTGGGGGATCCTTTTAGCATATGTCTTTTCCGCTGATCCCCAGAAACATGCAGTTTTGCAGGTTAATATGTCAGCACCATGGATGCTTTAGGGGTTGCCATTTGCCTGGTCAACCCTCATAAACATCCCATCGCTGCTGTTTTGTTCCACCGCTATTGACCCGTTCACTTCTATAGTTTTTCGCCATTTAGCATATTATTGTACACCCCCATCAAACTCATCGCCCGTTTCCGGAGATTTGGGGCCCAAATCCCAACTTTAGATCATGTTAGATGGTGCAACTATGTGCAACTGGCAGTTTTAGAGGTTAAATCCACCGTTTCAATTGGTTACATGTGAACATTAAATAACTGGTAGGTGGTTGAGCCACCCCTCTGAAAAATATGAGTTCGTCTGTTGGGATGTTCTCAACATATGCAAAAATAAAAGTCATGTTCCAAACCAGCAACCAAATAAATTATCCCCATAATACCCCCCCAAATTTACCGCCATAGATTCTAAATGGCTAAATGCCTGCAAGGTGGTGCCCCCAAGCTATGATTTGGTTCATGATCACATCTATATAACAATACTGTACACTACTTGTAGCATCTTGTGCAACCAACTTAGCTAACATTGGGGGAAACCAGTTTGGATAGTTAAGTCCGTATTCCCGATGGTCTAATCCAAGCAATTCCGAAAACACATATGCGATTTTTGAGCTACAAATCCAAGTAAATTCCATCAAAGGCCTAGCTAACTTTCCCATAAAATCCACTCACTCAGCCATCTAATATCCATCTATAATTGTATCTAATTAGGCCACCCCACCTTTCATATCTTCGTTTTTTTTTGGTGGTGCCTCACCTTCCCCGCAACGGACCCGCCAGGCTCCCAGGGGCACCCGCAATGATCAGCGCCGCCAAGAGCACCGAGCTGGCTTGGTCCATGCCCCACAACCGCCCCGTGGCCGCCACGCCACTCATCTCACTGACCATAGCGATGACGCACTCCATGAGGAGCAAAATGGTGGCGAACCAGCCTCGTGGTCACAATGGTCATGACATATACTTATTATTATTCACTATTATTATTCATTATTATTGTTATATATATATTATAATAATATTTGTAAGAAATATGTGTATATATATATATGGATTTGTAGTATATAATCAGCTATAATCCTGGCGTGGATGGAAGTATGGACATGCCCAAAAATCCCCACTAAATTGCGCGAATATGTTTGAAAAAACATGTTCTAGATACTTCAGGACGATTCCACGCCTTTGTAAAAGCCTATAGGCATTATATACCGCATATAAGTTGCATAAACACTAGCACAACATTAAACTGTACATGCATTATTATATACATATCAAGACATGCACTGCATAGATATGTGATGCATATGACTGTATATGCACACTTTGTTTATACGTGGCATGGTATGGTGACGTTATAGCATTGTATGGCTTAAAGTGTGGTAGAGAATAATCTTAGTACTAGTATATACTGGAATTGGAATTGGTAGCGGTATTTGTAGCAGTAGTGCAAATAAAGTTTTGGAGTGTGTACGTGTGCATGTACATAGGTAGGGGGTAGGTGGGTAGGTATGTATACCTACACATACACACATGTGCATATGTCATATGTATTCATACGTTTGTTTGAATAAATTGTATTGTAAAGAAAAATGGATGTCAAATATATTGTATGACATTTTATGATGGCACCGCGGCCAGCATGAGACATATGACTATATAATCAGCCAACCATTGTGACTATATGTTAGGATGGTGGTTAACTAACCGGGCAAATCAATGCCCCCCCATTGGTACAATAGGACAAAAATCCTACACAATAGAATAAACAATCCAACTTTACGAATACCTTTGCACACCAATCATCATGACTCACGATGAAAATCATGAAGTGAAGTTTCGAGGCTTAAAAATTGAGCACTCCACAACCCCCAAACAAAAACGTTGAAGCCGGGGTAATGGGGAGGTGAAAATCATGTAATGTGGTTAAAACAATAAAATACAATTAAAAAACAGCCCCCAAATCTCCAGAAATGGGTGGTATACAACATTATTTTCCGAAAACTTTTTTTGTTCCCATCTGCTTGGTCGTTTTTGGAGGCTCCTACGGGGCACAATGATTATTCCTGGAATGGTGGTCATTCATCCAAGAGCAGCTCTAGGTCAGGATGATGCGATCAACCCTGATAAGGATTTCCGTAAGTCGGTGGTTTCGAGACTTTCGGTCGTGAATACAGGTGTAGATATGTTCTAAATCTTGGATGAGTGGTTGTGATGGGTCATGAAAACGAAGTCCTCTCTTGCAACCTGCGCTTTGTTTCATTCAAGACAGTGTGCGGGCTGCATGTTTTCGCCCCAAATTTTCCGTTCTCATTCCACTTCTGAAATCTTACACACCTCACCTTCAACCCTCAGAGGTCCATCGCTCCAGCCACCGGTTATTTTTCTGCCCAGCGACAGCACCGTGGCCCGAAGTGATCGCGAATGCATGCGCTGTGGCCCTGGCCCGTGCACACACCCAATCGGACCGTGAGGTCCTGCGCCATGAAGAGAACTGGAATCAGCAGAATCCTTGGTCGATTCCGACGCTCCCAGAAACATATGGAAATTATGACTGATATAGCTGATTCATATTAGCAAAGTTGGTGTTGGTGTGGTTTCACTTCTATTTTTTTGGTAAATCTGCCTGTAGTTGGGGTTAGGAAAAGTCTCTGGTAATCTTTGGTTGCTGGTTTCAACCCCTGGAAAGTGGATGGGCCGGTCATCCCATGTATACTTATATATATGGTTGAAAATAAGCCATATTTGAAACCACTCGCCAGATCTGGATGCGAAGCCAGTCTGTTTGACGTCGCGGTGAGGTTGAATCCCTGCTCTGATGGTCAGTCTATACTCCCCTTGTATAGACATTATGGGGGTGTATAAAGTGGAAAGCCAACAGGTTTTGGCTCTAAAGTCACAAGCCAAGGTTTTATACAATAGCTTGACGACGTAAGATCAGAACAATTAGGATAACTTAGGAAGTATTTTTGGGGGTATTTGTTAATATATTCCATTACTGCAAATAAATAGGTGTGTATAATATATATATATATATTATTTAGAAAATGAAGAGTGTAACATAGTGTAACATTCAAGCAGCAATACTGATGTGGAAGCCCAGGCACTGCAGTAATAGCAGGCCGTAGCCGTATCTGGAGCCTGATTGACATGCCACTAGCAGGCACCCTGCATCTGTATCCTCAGGCTGGCCATCGTTTTCGTGGAATGGGTTCAAGGGAAACCTGCAGGAACCCTCTTGTTTCATGATAACAACTGTGTTGTTTGGTAGGTTCCCTTAGACCAACCCACTGGAAATTGGAATTGTGAAATTATTTGCAAGAACCAGTAAATTGTAAACTCATGGTTCAGAATGGTTCATGCAGTTCCTGCTAGGTTATCACATCCTGTGAGGGACCGAGCTGGAATGAACGGGAAGAAGGAGCTTGGAGCTGTTTGAAATGCCTGCTTGCGAACAAGGATCAGCCAAACATACCAGAAGACCCGGGCCAAGTATGGACCTGGGGCAGCGGCGCCATCGTGTTTCTTGGATTGGGGAAATACTCCGACATTTGTTGCATGAAATCATGAACAAATGGCACCATGCACATCCATCACAACATGTGCCAAAACCCAAACACTACAACCCCCGGAAATTCTTCAACATTTACAGGCGTTACCCACGGTTCTTCAAACAATAGACTTTAATAAACCCATTGAGCAAACTGCCGTGATATCTCTACATCCTGTGGTACCAAAGTGCCGAGCAACCAGGACCATGCGAAGGTAGGCTTTTCCCACTTGCTAGGTCCAGATTCTAGTAAAGCACCTGGCCAACAGCAGTCTCCCCCATCTTGGCACACCAGCACAACTCACATTGACTGACCCTTTCATGGCTGTCGTCTCATCTTGTTTAATTCAGCTAACACGTCACAAGTGCAACCAGGAAGTGATTTCAACGCATCACTATCCCGTACTGTTTGGCAATCAAACCCTGGCAATGGAAAGGCTTCACCATGTCGTCAATTCAACAGGATAAAATATGAATGTCCATACTGTTTACAGTTTTGCCCTTCCCAATTGCTACCAGGTATATAATATACAGTCTATCCGGGGCTTCCCAGCCACTCAGCCTTGTTCATTCTCGAGACTAGTGGGAAGGGAAAACATGATGGCTCGAGCACAAAGACTGCGGAGAGTCGTTTGGTCTATGCCAGGAGGAGGCTGACGTTGGTCTACCATAACAACCATCAAATACCCTGTGGTAAACATACCAAAAACCATGGAACATCACCATCTGTAATAGGTAAATCAATTCTATAAGTGGGCCATGTTCAATAACAAACTGTAACAAATTACCAGAGGATCTACATGGCTGTTTTCTGAACCTGGGTGGGAAACAGCCAATCCCCAAATCCTTTGGTTGATCATCACTATCCCCCACAAAAACGCGGCGCAATCTGAGGATACACCATTTCTGGTTGGTGGTACCTACCAACCCCTCTGAAAAATCATGGAGTGAAAGTCAGTTAGCAGTATGACATTTCCAAACTCTATGGAAACGATTCAAAATTCCATGGTTCCAAGCCACCAACCAGCAATTTCAACTACCCATTAATATGTAGAAGTCTGACTGAAACACTGGGGAGATGCCATAGCATCGGTCAATTCCCAGGCATCCGCTCCAAAAAGGCAAGGGCGCACAGCAACCACTGCCACCTGGGCGAATTGGAAATCTGATTGAAACGTCACCTTGGCAGATGTAGAGTAATATGATAATACGCATTAAAAGTGAGGCATGCAACAAATGACAAAATATGATTTCACCTTGGTGCCAAGATGTCCATACAAGTGCAACACGCACACACAGAGACAAATAGCAAATAAATGAATATAAACAATTAAAAATACATACATGCATGCATGCATGTATATATATATATATATCATATATAGAGATATCAAGCACACACACACACATATATATATATATATATACACACCTATATCTCCCAGTGCAGTAAACACTCATAATACCAGATTTCTATAGATCTCTACCCCTGTTGGCTCCAAGACGTTTCACCCTTACCACAACGCCACGTCTCCGGGCCAGGCAAAGTCGCTGCTGGGCATGTCCTCTTTCAACATCACCAGCACTGCACACCTATCCGCATCAAGCCAAGAGGTTATGGGGTACCTCCCAATTTAGGATATTTAAGGCCGGTTTCATATGTTGATTGATGTTGATTGGGTATTTAAAAATATATATATATATGTATATATAATTACACACATATATATATATATACACACACGTATTTAAAAAAAAAAACGCATATATACATATATATATATATATATATGTGTTTTTTACACCCGTATTTTTTCAAAAAAACACATACATATATATATATATATATACACACACGTATTTTTTCAATAAAACGCATATACATATATGAATATATATATATATATGTATATATGTATACATAAACACAGGGATATCAGGAGATTTCCTATCCCCATTTCCGCTAAAAGCACGGAAAAACCGTTCAACATCTTCGACACAGCCATCTTTCGGATCTCCGAGCCTGTCTGGTTCAATGCATCGCTGTAGAAAAAGCCTTGGCCCGCAACGTGGCGTTGTGGGGTCGCAGGCTACGAAATCTGAACCATTGATACTAAGGGCCGAAAAAAAAAAAAAAACAACGCTACGAAAGTATATTGGGATATGACTGCGGGAGAAAAAAAATCATGTACGTATCGCATACCCTAAAAACGAGTAAAAACTCGCCAGAGCATCCACTGTCTCCGGCTGATCCGACAGGTACAGGCCATCCTCACTGTGTTGACACTTTTCCTACCCGATTTGGGGGTCTTTGGCAAATTCTGATGGAGTATATATTATATATATATGTGGATCCACGAAAATTGGGACTTCCAACATTTGAGACATGACCTACCCGGTTGGCGGCTTCAACCCACACCATATTCTTAGCTAAGTTGGATCGTCATCCCGTATCTGTGGGACTTGAAAATAAAACTGTTCGAAATCACCAGCCAGGTACTGACTTCAGTTGATGCCCTCCGACTATTTAACGCCGCTATAGCAGCTATGTATGGAAAATCACCATTTTATAGATAGGTAATTCATCACAAGTCATCATAAATCATCATATATCATGAATAAGTGGCCAATCAATTCAATAGCTATGTTCAACAACCAAATGGTGATGATATGTAATTAATGATGATTTTGCCACGACATATCCCCAAGAAATACCCCCATTAGTTCCATGATTTTCCGATGAAATATCTCCATATTGTCTCGAATGCATCCCCATATCCTCCCTTCATGGAGATATAATATGATATAATCGTATATAGTTCATATATTATTCATATTATACGATTATATCCCCATGAAAGGAATAATGTATCCATATAATATCTCCATATCTCCCATATTACCACCATATATTCATTGCAAATCTTGCCGCCCCATGGAGCCCCAAGGCCGGCCGAAGCACTCCACGTTCTCCATGCCGGCATCGATCTGGCAATGGTGTGAACTCACCAAGCATTGCGGAGTTTTTCTGGGATGTTATGAGATTTTCATGGTGGTTTAATGGGCTTTAATGAGGTTCACCAACACAAATAGGGACATTAACTAATGTAACTAATATAGCAATATATCACACGATTTGAACGCTCGCCAACATTCCAGTGCCAAGTGAGCCGCTCCAATCTCCAAATAAACTCAGCGCACAGTTGAATGAGTTGGCAGGTTGGATGTGCCAGTCAAACCCACAGAAATGGGACACATGGAGTATTAATGAGAAAATGACTGGCATATATATATATATATATAAAATACAGAAATGGCAAATTTACACATGAAAAATCGAGGATGGGAAACGAACATTTCACAGTTCTGATTTCACCTTGTAATGACGAGCCATTTCATCACTGAGGTCTGTGAAACCAATCAACTCCGAGTGAACGGTCCTGTGTCACACGTGCCTGAAATTCATGGAACTTTCATACACCAATTCATAACTGGTTGGTGGTTGACCTACCCCTCTGGCAATCCATGGCAAAACATCTTGATCTATGGTTTAATGTGAATATGTATGGATAGCTATGGGAATATCTATGGGAATATCTATGGGAATATCTATGGGAATATGTGGTAAATGATGGAATATGGGATCTGGTTGGTGTTGCAATAACCATCTTGAAAAATGATGGAGTTCGTCATTGGGGTTGGGATTATCCCATATATGAAATGGAACATCAAAGTCATGTTTGAAACCACCAACCAGATAATCATTCATAGACTTTCCAAATAATCAGTCATAGTCATTATAATTGATTTTCATTGCTACAAGTTTCCATAAGTCTCCATAAGGTTCCATAAGTTTCCATAAGTTTCCAAAAGTTTCCATAAGTTTCCACTGGGGAACTTCTAATTCTTAAGTTTCCATCAGTTTCCACTCTCTCTCCACAGTTATGGCCACTTATTAGTTATATAGGTTATTTCAATGCAATTCTACATTCTATAAGTTGGGGTTTTCTAAGTACTTATAACTGCTGGTTGGTGGTGCAATAACAGTCTTTAAAAATGATGGAGTTCGTCAATGGGGTTGGGACTATCCCATATATGAAATGGAAAATAAAAGCCATCTTTGAAACCACCAACCAGCAAACATGTTGCATAGTTATGTTAGTTTACCAGAGGGTACTTACTTACTGGTGCTTAGTAGGGAATGAGGGAATGATCCCAGTCATCACTAGTAATAATAATCCCAGCAACCCCCAGCAACCCCCAGCAACCCATCCATTCCCTACTAAGCTTATAACTGGTATTTCGGGGCATAACTGCACTACTGGGATGATGATTCTGCTGGTTCCAGTTTCGGCGATCCCCCGCCCGGACCAGGCGTTGCTGCATGGTCGCCAGTGCTGTTGCCGGTTGATCCACCACCTTCAAAATGGCGCTGTTGGTTTTGGAGGCTGGGTTCATTGTCTCTTGGTTTTATATATATAAAGGGATATATATATATATATATATATAAAAAGTTATAGACATATATGTATATATATATATGTGTATATATATATATATGAATAGTAAATTTTAACATACGATTAGATAGTATTCAATTGTATTCGTTTGCTCATTTGGCATTTTGGAGTTCCTTTTTCTCAAGTTTGATCCCCGGGCCTGGCCCTCCAGGATGTAAACGCCTCAGTTTGATGAGCTGGCTGATTTCACCCTTGTTTTTCGATATGTCGCGGTCGGTTAAAAAGTATCACTAGTTCCTGGTATGACAAAAGGAATTTCATATGTGGAATGTTATGTTGTTTGGGGTACCATCTGGTTATTTAACATATTTTAACATAGCCATGAAAAAAACCATCTATTTCTATGGGCCATGGCTTCCATGGCTATGTTAAGGAACCAGATGGATCCAGATGGTAGATACTTGTAGCAATTGTCCTACTCGATGCCGTCACACAAGGCCCTGGTTTTGGGGAGCTGGTAGGGGTGGGTTGGACACCTGGACACCTGGACACCAAATTTGTAACCTGATGATTTTGTTGGCCACCAATTCCAGCTGCCTAGCATTATATTGCCCCGCATTGACCCAAAACACAGAAGTTAGATTCTCTAAGACCTTGGGGCTATTTATATAGCACACACAAAATATATATATGTGTGTATATATATACACATAAATATTATATTACTATATCACATCATACATATAGTGAAAATAATGATAGTAATAATAATAAGCTAATATTAATAATAATAACCATATGGAAACATAATATCAACTAATAAGAATATATCATGTGTTTCATGTCAGCGGCCCACTCGATTATCACACCACCAGCCCGCCCCCCCGAGCTGCCCTGACGCTCAAAGACGACTTCCGACGCTCCGACGAAGAGTTGATCCTTTGACAGGAGATCCCGCACCTTGCTACGCTGAAACCATGGATGCCGTAATCAGATCAGATATAGGCCCTCCAAAATGGTCCACTGGTTGGTGGTGCAATAACCATCTTGAAAAATATGAAAGTCAATGATACCATACATTATGGAAAATATACAGGGGGTCCATGGAGTTTCCTGTCAAATTTTCAATGCAGTGGCTGGAGGTGGCTCCGTCGGCCGTCAAACATGGGGCCATCCCCAACTCATGGCCTAAAAACAGGGCTAAGCCCATCCACGCCTGACTCACAGGAGGAAGCTTTGCCTCCCGTTTCTCCTCTTGCCTGAGACAAAGATCCATTTGTCCCAGAAACATGGCCCAAGTAACCAAATCATCCATGGTGAAGGAATATCATGGGTGATTTTTGGTCACTTTTGGTGAATATGCCACCATGGAGGTTGCGGGCTTATAGAATCAGCAAACATCATCAAACAATCTAACATCATTCATCGGTTTGGGCAACGTTTCAAAGCCTAATCAACCATTGCATGGTCCCAAATATGCGTAAATCACCTACAAATATGCATGGTGTCTGAGAGGTCTTTTTTCTTTTTCGCATGGGCGATGGGATGTTCCACCAGAAAATGCCGAAAAATCTTCCCAAGTAGATATCGATAGATATAGAATATATAGCATAGGTAGATGATGATCTGATTATCGATGCGTGGGGGAGAGGATTATTCAAGAATCAAGGGGTCGAACCCCGTAGCCATATAGTAAATACGTTCAGCATCCTGCACTGCACTTCAAGAGGCCAAATCTCTACGTTAGAGACATTGGCTTGGCCCCGACCACACCCGGCCCGCAACATGCCGGAGCGTGTAATATATGTGTAGTGATGCCCGGATTCAAGTGAGCACTTTCCGCAACATTGTCCCGACTGGTTCGACAATGTTCAACAGATTCATACGAGCTCCTATCAGATTGCAATAGTCCAAGTTCCAAACAAACAACTAGTACAACCAGCCGTGATAGGTCGCCGTGAAACATTCCCACATAGCCATACATAACCTCTACATAACGCCCAGCCAGATATCCAAACACCCCCAGGTACCCTCCGGGGCCCCTGCACCAGGATGGGCCTGAGATTGTGTAGAGCTGTTGGCTACCCACAAAGAAACTGGGGATTTAGCCAACACTCATTCCATGTGTATACAGTAGCATTATGTAACATTGAACATTTAAAAGCTATAACAATGGGACCCCATTCCGATACATGGCTCTATGATCCACTCAATACAATAATGGGATCAACATTGTATAACTTGTAAAGTCACATGTTTGAAGCTTACACATTTGACCAAATATACCAAAATGACATGAATGGACCTACTTGATCTCTACAACAAGCTGTGAACTTTGAAAAGAAAGGAATTGATTATATAATTTCATTCAATCATACATCCAACCTGCCATTGGTTCTATATGATGCTCCATCGCCTTCCCTACACAGCACGTGTCAACGAGCTCCCTGACACCGCGATGAAACGCAGCGCCGTCTCATCGTCAATCATCTTCTCTGCCACCTCCTAAATCCCAACAGCTGACAGAATTCCAAAGAACTCCAAGGAGCAAAAGAAGGATCTCTGGTACTTAAAAATCACATTACATCGGTTACATCCACCATTGATGGCGAAAGTTAAACCCCAACATGTTGATATTTTTTGATGTTCTCATATCTTTGACATGTATTGAAGTGTCATGACATTTCCTGCGTCTTCGTCAAAAAAAGCCTTCCGTCATGGTATCAGCTGCAGTTGTTCAACATGAGGTCAGTGCCTCCAACTTCTGTACTGCCTCGGAGTCATCCTTGGTCCAGGATAGCAGCGGATAGCTCCCTCGAATTTGCTAAAAAAATGCCGCCTAGAAATTGCCATCACAAGCAGGATGAGATGGGTGATATAAATACTGCTTGGTGGTTGACCTACCCCTCTGCAAAATATGAGTTCGTCAGTTGGGATGAGTATTCCTAATATATGGAAAATAAAATTCATGTTCCAAACCACCTACCAGTATATATTTGATATGATTTGCATGACCAAACCATGGATCTCCACCGAGAAAGCTCCCAACTTCATGCGCTGGCAACTGAGCTCAGTGCAACTGCCGAAGTGGCCGCCACTTCAGGACCGGTGCCTGCTCCATAGGCTGCTGGCATCTTTGGCTACAAAATGTGGCCATATTGGGGCTAAATGATGGTAAATATTCCAGCAACCTGAAGCATCTGGGAAATGAGTTCTGAAAAAACACATCTGCAAAAACTGCAAGATATCTACAGTTGGCTCAGCCTGCAAAGTCTGATAGGACCCGACAATCGATGATAATCGTTTGCTTTGTAGCCAATGCTGTGCCCTCAGCACCAAACCTTGAGATATAGAATTTGCAACAATTTGTACTCCATCAGAATACTAGACCATTCGGTAATCGAACTCAATGGACCTTCTTTCTGGGAATTGACCAGGATCACCTCCCTGCTGCCTGACGGCGTGCTCCCACTTTGCTCCCTGACCTACAGGCGGCGCAGGCGGCGCAAGCCGGAAAGGCATGGTAATTACCTGGTGGCTCCTCACACGAATCCCACAACTAATAACCCTCGTACCTGGTGAAAAGTGGGATGATTAGGGTCAATCCACTGCGAACTTTATTAAAGGCCTTTATTTAAGCATCTTGCTAAGTTGGAGGAACCACGAAGTTAAATATACTGATACATACATATATATATATGTATATACAAATAGAAGATCTCTATATATATATATATATATGCCAATTTGTGTCCAAATCCAAAGGCACATCCCCGAAGACAAAGGTATGAATCCGCAAGCCAAGAACATCACAATTCTCCAAAGCCATCTTTCAGGGATGCACTTGAGCCTTCTCGATGCATTCCTGCAACACTCATCCAATCCTTTGCTAAATCTTGCTGATCTTATCCAATCTCACACTGCATACCCAGCAAAACAACATTTAATATTCATCCGGTTACACTTATTTTCTCATGAGCATGGTAAAAACCTTTCTCCCTTGTGATTGGTAAGTCTATGTCTCCACTTCTGCCCAAAGAACTCACCTGCTAACGTTTCTACCAAAATGTGTTAATTTAACATATATAATTTTTATCATATTAGACTTATCCTCCCATGTGTGAATGTATGGCAAACAGGTACAGCGGCAGCCGCAAAAAACCATAATATCCAAGGTTAAGTCTCAATGGATTCATGTGCAAGAAAAATGGCTGAAACTGAAACCATTGTTTCTAGCCCTGCAATATCGTCTTTCCCACCATGGCATCCCCACGGTGGAAGCAACCTCACGAGCCTCTCGCACCTCGAAGAAAATTTGCGGATCGCCAAATACGGTTGGTCAATACTCCATCACCATGGGAAGTATTGGTTATATAGTTGTATATGTAAATAAATATTTAACTATACATTATATAATTATTTATAAGTTTTTTTTTGACAATTTGCCGGCTTGCATGACACATGATATCATTTGCTGGACTGACAGCAGGCTTGGCAAGATTGGTAAGTCCTTTTTGCCTCATAAAGTCACCAGAATTTTCGGAATTTGTAATGCATCCAATCTTGGACACTGACCTTCAGAAAGGTCATTTCATTGGCTGGGTGCTGGATATGACATATCCCTTTTGCAGGAACCAAATGCAATTTAAATATCCCATCATTTTCCACCACTCGCTCCACACGGGAAAAGGCAAACGGTCTTCTTTCGGTCAGCTGGTCACTGTCTGCCACCATACCAGCTCCTTGATGAAGCACTTCCTGTGATGGTGTCATCATCCCGGTGGGGGCCCTCACTGCTTTAGAAATTCCATGTGGGTATGGCTTCAAATTGAATACACCAAACAGAAAAAAAATATAGGACCGGATAACCCCACATGTTAACAACTTCTCCGGAATTAGACTGAGCACAGAAAAGCAACAAGGGAAGAGGAAGTATGAGAGTGATGGATGGGTTATGGTGGGTGAGTTTGTGTGTATGTATGTATGTATGTATGTATGTATGTATGTATGTATGTTAATTATGTATGTATGTATTTACATGTACAGGTGTGTCACTTTGGTAGTCTGTTAACGATATGTGTACCGGGTGTATGTGATGTTATACGTATGTGTGTGTGAGGTGGTATTATCTATCTATCTATCTATCGATCTATCTATCTATCTATCTATCTCTCTACCTCTCTATTTCTGTCTATCTATCTATCTCTATGTATCTATCTATCTCTCCATGTATCGATCTATGTATCTATCGATGTATCTATCTATCTATCTATCTACCTGTCTATCTATCTATCTATCGATCGATGTATCTATCTATCTACCTATCTATCTATCATTATCTATCTATCATTATCTATCTGTCATTATCTATCTATCATTATCTATCTACCATTATCTATCTATCATTATCTATCTATCATTACCTATCTATCATGATCTATCTATCATTATTTATCTATCATTATCTATCTACCACTATCTATCTACCATTATCTATCTATCATTATCTATCTATCTATCATTATCTATCTACCATTTTCTATCTATCATTATTTTTCTATCATTATCTATCAATCATGATCTATCTATCATTATCTGTCTAACATTATCTAGCTATCATTATCTATCTATCATTATCTATCTATCATTATCTATCTATCATTATCTATCAATCATTATCTATCTATCATTTTCTATCTACAACTATCTATGTATCATTATCTATCTATCTATCTATCGATCTATCTATCTATCTATCTATCCTATCTATCCTATCTATCCTATCTATCCTATCTATCCTATCTATCCTATCTATCCTATCTATCCTATCTATCCTATCTATCCTATCTATCCTATCTATCCATCTATCCATCTATCCATCTATCCATCTATCCATCTATCCATCTATCCATCTATCCATCTATCCATCTATCCATCTATCTATCTATCTATCTATCACCGGAGACCAAGGGACGCCAGGGCGTACATCCGACCCCTTGCAGAGCACCAAGTGCCGCGCCTGCCACGCAAAAGCCACCAGCAGAGCGGCGGAGAGCAAGGGACGCTAGGGCGTACATCCGAACCCTTGCAAAGCACCAAGTGCCGCGCCTGCCACGCAAAAGCCACCGGCCGGAGACCAAGGGACGCCAGGGCGTACATCCGACCGACCCTTGCAGAGCACCAAGTGCCGCGCCTGCCACGCAAAAGCCACCGGCAGAGCGGCGGAGACCAAGGGACGCCAAGGCGTACATCCGACCCCTTGCAGAGCACCAAGTGCCGCACCTGCCACGCAAAAGCCACCGGCAGAGCGGGGAAGACCAAAGGACGCCAGGGCGTACATCCGACCCCTTGCAGAGGACCAAAGGCTGCGCCTGCCACGCAATAGCCACCGGAGACCAAGGGACGCCAAGGCGTACATCCGACCCCACGCAAAAGCCACCGGCAGAGCGGCGGAGACCAAGGGACGCCAGGGCATACATCCGACCCCTTGCAGAGAGAGAGAGAGTGTGTGTGTGTGTGAGAATGATGTGTGTGTGTGTGAGGAGGAGGGCGGGTGTGAGAGTGATGTGTATGAGTGTGATGTGATGACTTGACTGAGTGAGTGTTGAGTGAGTGAGTGATGAGTGTGTGAGTGAGTGAGTGTTGAGTGAGTGATTGAGTGAGTGATGAGTTGTGAGTGAGTGTTGTTGAGTGAGTGATTGAGTGAGTGAGTGATGTGATGAGTGATGAGTTGTTGAGTGTGAGGGAGGGACGGGAAGGTGGACGGGAAGGCGGAGGAGGAGGAAGAAGAAGAGCGGATACAGAACTAAAAACAAAAAAACCACACGTCAATGTGGGGAACAAGACTTTTTGCTACCATGCCAGTACCAAAAATGTTGAACAACTTTGTGGTTTAGCATCCCGGCCATATTTCATCATGACCCATCCTGATTTGGACAACCTGGTCTCTGGCCATTTTGGCTGGCGCCGCGCCAATGTTGAAATCTGGGATCCAAACCTGCGTGATAGCAAGTATAGTTGCCAGGCCTGGCTTTGCTTGCGCCACCGCAAGCCAGAAGGCGACCAGCGGCGAAGCCGACCAGGACAACCACGGGGAATCCTGCAGATATGAAATTTGAATGTTGCCTCCTTGCAAGCAGGAAAACTTGCTGAGGCAGCGACACAGGGGTTTTCGGCAACGTGCTGCCAAATAGATTTGGCAGCCGTGCCTTTCGGAGTCAAGCAGAACTTGAGCTCCGCGGCGCCCTGAAGCAGGCAACCTGCAACACGCTGCCCTTTGCATTTATGTGGCTGTGCCCTTTTGGTTTCGTCTATTGAATATTGCTGATCAAATCCCCGGCCTGTCGGGTAGTGTCTTCCCGAAAAGCGGCCGCCAAAGGTATAGGGCAAGGCAGCAACCTGGAATCACGACGTGTTGTTCCGCAATTACTTAGTTGGCAACACGTAGCAAGACGTCTTTACACACAATACCCTGCTGAGGTAGGTGCTGAGCACTCGTCATCGCCGCACCTAGGATCTTCTGTGCACCCACTAATTACAGGAGAGCACCTCGTGTATGATATACTCGCCAATATTTATCAGGTTACAGGTTACCCAAAATCCACCACTTTTGAGCAAATATGCCAGCACCATGGATGGCATTACTTGTCATAATTGCTTGTGCTTGCTTCAACCAGTTTCCATATGTTTCCATACAGCTTGAAACAACCCTCAAACACATGGACAAGTTAGAAACCTAAAGGGTAACTAAGCAATTAACGATAATATGAACGTAAATGTCATCCAGACTCTGAACTTGAAACTATATAAGAGAGCCAATGCTCGCGGCCCACAATCACTCGAGGAATATCATCCACAGAAAACATTTCAACACGTTTTTGATGCTTGAAATCATGCTAAATCACACTTTGGGGTTAGAACTCAGATGTCCATTTTTCCCGCGACTACATGTCACCATCTCCATCCATATCCCCATAAAGTGGTGATCATCATCCGCACCAGCCGCGCTTCTTGGCCGCCAAGGTTCCGCGGAAACTGCCGCACCTCCATATGGATGGGACTGGCATCCAGCCAGTCCTCCGGCACCGTGGCGCCAACAGAAGGGACACCTTGGATCACTGGAGACCCGAAACATCCCGAAACGCTGCAAGCTCTACCCATGTTTTGGTGAAGTCCTAAGCTTTGTCGGGTAGTAACTAACAAGACCATTTTGGGACCAGATCACAGTTTGTTTTTTCGGAGCACCATTCTGTAGTATCCACCATGTTTTCATATGATTTTTCTATCCCATTTCTGAAAAATGTGAGAAAACTGGGTCATTTCTGATGTGATGATCCCATGGATCCCAGGTTATTCTTCTCTCCCCAGGGAAACCACGACGGTTTTCCCACCCCTGCAGCCCTTGGCGCAGCTTCCCTGGCGGCCACCGCAGATCCGCTACCGCGCGTGGGAGCGCCAAAGGCTCAAGGCCAGGGCGTCGGCTTCGCTGGGGTCCAGATATCCTCAGGCCCAAGGCCTGGAAAATAACAGGGTGATGGGGATAAAAACTATAGGATGGAATCATAAAAACCCATCAGACTCTAGTTTTGTGAGGATTTCGGTGATTTTTGTTCTTATAGGGTGTTTTGTTTTGGGGTTAGATGAATCTATAAAACAAACGTGGACCGGGATTTCTGATAGGGTTCATGATATAACTATAGTTGGATGGGAGATAAAACCCATCTAACTTTTTGGTGATAACATTACATAGTGATTTTACTTAACTTATATCTATATATAGTCAAATGGGTCTATAAACCAACTTAGAGCTCCATAAAACTGGTTATGATCGGGAATATGTAATCTTTGTGAATGCCAACTTAGTTTCATGATCGGCGTTACATCTTTTCAATTCAACAATGAAGATCCCCAAAGATTTACTAGTTAATCTTGCTGTTCAACTTGGTTGTCTGCTATATTTAACTTTTTGACCAAATCGTTAGGACAATACTTCTGTGCTGGAGCTGGCCAAATTAGGGAGAGCCTACAGAAATATAACGACGGCTCAAAACAGAATCAGATCTTCGATTCACTGACAATCAAATTGAACAAAAATATCTGAAAAAGGGGTGCCCCAAAATTTAAACAAATTGCAATTTTGGGGCTATACCCCATTTTAAGACATGCCAATAAAATATCACACGGCTGGTGATGTACATCACATAAAATCCATTAAAACCCATGTATATCTACACTTTCTTGGTTGTATGCCATATTTCCACGAAACAACATATAGTTAAGTTATCAGTTATCATCCGCATAGGATCCATGTATGCTATATATGGTAACATTTACCATCAACATACCCCCAATGTTAGCATATATACCATACATGGATCCTATGGGATCATTAAATCAAACAAATCCATGGTGATGTGGGATAGAATGCATCATTTATCACCAGAATGTGCATCTCTAAACCTCCAACCAGGTCGCCTTCCCCCCGGGACCGCCGGAAGCGGATCAGCGTTGAAGCTGCGCGAGATCTGAAGTGGTTGGTGGGCAGAAATGGGAAAACATAGGGGGGGTTCGCACTATTTGAAGTAAGAAAATGGGGCTTCTAACATCTAACCCATCATGTGGGTTTCGCTATCTAAACTTTGAATAGGCAGATATAGGCAAATATAGGCCGTCTTGTCTGGTTGAAAACTGCAATGATTTGGGGATTGATCTCCATAAAAGTCAAGTGGCATCACCATACCAGTTGGGATGAAACACTCACAAAATGATTGAAACCACGACTCTGCCCAAGTCATTAGTGATCAGCGAAAATGCCACATGTTCTAGGGAACCCAAATGAAGCTCAAATATACACGGATTCTCACTGGGTGGCACCGTTTCAACAGAAGATAAGTAGCACGAACATGGATGTTAATACCTGGTTGGGGTGGTACAATGCCTCGGTATATGCAAGTAGACAGAGATATGGACATGCCAAGCTGTATCCTCAGGTCATAAGTATATTACATTTTCGGTATCCTATAGCCATGAATATGCATATTTGTGTGTGAAAGTGCCCACAAACAAACACACACACACGAGTCATGTATGTTTATGAATGCGAAAAACACAAAAGAAGTGCGAATGTGCGGGTGCGCGTGCCCGCGCGCACACAGACGATTCATGTATGGTTCTGAATATGACAAGATATGAATATTATCAAATGCCCATATTTCCGAACGCAAAATTGTCCGAATGTCATGGTATGCACACAACACCAAGCACCAAGCCATATATTTATAAATCTCCGTCTGTACATTAGCGCATAAAAGGAAACACACCAACTAGTCACTAGTGTCACACAGACCGCATCCCAACCATTTTCGTCCAAACATTGCCAGCAAAGAGTGGTTCAACGCAAGGAAAAGGAAAGCGTGGTACGAAGTGGAAGATGCTAAAATGATATAACATAATATAAAATATATTATATGTTCATTGGTGCATTTATGACACGTGAACAATGATATACAATAGCACACACAGTTATCTTCCATAAATCACCATTGTCCATGTCCAATCAGGGACCTAAGATTCGACAATTTTGATGGTGCATTCTTACCCATAGGATCCATGTATGCTATATATGGTAACATTTACCATCAATATACCCCAAATATATCCAAATGTTAGCATATATACCAGCACCATGGATCCTATGGGTTATATAGCAGCCCGAGTTTGAGCGGCAATGGTTTTGAAGTTGTTCCTTTTCCGTCCTCTCTATTGCCTCAGGAACGGCGAGTGGAAACAGCATCATCACACGTGGCCAAAATCAACACTGCCGGCAGGAGGTCAACAAAAGACCTAAATAATCCTAAATGCATCCTAAATGCACATCAAATCTCCAAAGCAGCAAAGTCCACTTTCCCTTTAGAATTTCTCTATTTTCGACTGACCTATTTTAAGCGAGATTTTGCTTTTGGACATCCCCCGACCGGCTGGTGTCGACTTTGTCTGCGCCCTGGAAAGCGAAAACCGGCAGTTCAACACGTTCACCCTTCACAGCTGCTACGGTTGCTTCTAGAAGTCTCAAATGGTAGAATCCTTAGAAACTTCCCATGTGTGGTTGGCTTATTTTCATATCTGGATGAATAGTAATTAATCATGCACTAAAGATATTTGGGATAGTTGCCGGACTCAATTGCCCGTCATTCCAGCAACGTCGCGACGTGAGGTCGCTATAACTTTTGCAGACATATTGAACATAAATTATGCAGATAGGCAAGTATATTGAAGATGGAGTGTTTTCGAAATACTTTGTGGTTTGCTGCAGCCACACGGCTTGATTTTACATCAGTGGATACATCAGGCGATACATCCGAAAAAACAAAATAAAAAACAGCTGGATAGAAACGTGAAACTTGGCAAACTGAAAATGTTTCTTGGGGAAAAACAAGCCAAAACCATCCAACTCCACCATCCAAAAAGTATGGTGCCGCGGAACAGCTCCAAGTTTGGGCCAACAAGATTGAGCATCCTACTGGCCATGGCGATCTTCCATGATGTCTAAGAAGCAATTGATACAACATATGACATGCAACAACATTCACTCAAATTCTGAGGAGCTTGGCAGTATAGTTCCGATTTTTTGGGCAAGTTGGCAACAATCACCATGGCATTTAGCAATCTCATAGCCTAGCCTATCACCTAAAATGTCAGTTGGGATTCTGGTTCCAAGTAGAGTGGAGACAAAGCATATGCGAAGCCACCGGTTGTTGCTTTCAGCCACTAGTTGTTGCTTTCAGCCACTAAGCATGGCTGAGTGGAACTTATTATGGGACGATCATCACTGCAAAATCCATCTACAAAAGGCTTAGTCCAATAGTTGGGGGGAAAAGCATGGAAAAACTACATGAGTCACAACATGTCACAACAATCACAAGATAGCCCCAGCTATAAAGTTGGTTTATAAACCATAGTAAGTATATGGATATATCTGCCAGAAATCCAAATTGTTGGAGTTATAAACCAACTTAGCTCCCGAACTGCGGCACCATTGTGTTGTTTCACTTCCCTTTTCCGGAGTGGTCAATTGCGGACACTGGAGCTGATAAGGCGAGCTCATCTAATAACTTGGATGATTTGGGCTACTCCCCATGGATAGGAAAGCTGGAAACCTCCACATGTCAATATTCCTTGGGCGAATACCATAGCTACAGCGATGATACAAACACATGCCTCTGTTGAGCCAATTCAATCGGCAAATTCGTGCAGGTTTGAACTATCAACCATGATGAACAAAATGAGCCTAACCATCGAGCATAGCAATTGAACCAACGAATTAATAACAACGTAAAGGGTTTTGATCCCAAAAATAAGGACATTTAGTAGCCAAAAAAGTAGCGAACACTAGTGACCCATAGTGAAAGACTTGGGGAACATTATCTTGTAAGCCATGAGAGTGGGGTTGCCCTGTTTTCAAGCAAATGCATTCAGTTTTCCTATGTTTAAGCTATTATTTTGGCGCTCACCTTTTCATCGTTCAAGGCTCCAACCCCAGCCGGGCAGCTCAACAACGCGTCAGCGTCACGGAGCAAAGGGAAACCGCTGGGCGGCCCCAGAGAGGAGAAAATCGCCTATTCTGCTTGGTTGGAAGGGCCCGTGGCATTTTTTGGGGCCCATCATTTGCCTTTTTGGAGTTTGGATCTCCATGACAGTCTGTCCTACTTCTCGGGTAGGAGATTCCTCTCCTTGGGAACCCTTTAACGAGCTCCAGCACATGTGCAAGCTCGGCGTGCGTTGCGTCTGCTAGCTGATTCAAACTTTGGCGATGAGTCAAACTTTGGGCATTCAAAATGACCAGTCCACCTGTAGTCCATCTGTTAGTAGCCTTTAAATTGTGATCTGCATACCTGAGTGGTTAATTATTGATCTTCTCGATTGAGATTGGGATCTCCATGTTTGGTTGGTTTAAATCGCCCACTTGGTTGGTGAAACATCCGCCTATTGCCTGGTTCAACCACCAAATTTGTTTGCGTGTAGTACAGTATCCCGATAATTACATTTGGCTAATCTTTACTAATCCCCCATCTTCATCCCAGTTTCAGTGGCTAAAATTGAACTTCACACGTGCTCCGGTTACTCAATTCATAGCTCCCTGGCTCCCCATTCTTCAAGGGAAAAGTTGGATACAATCATAGCTCCGATCTCACGACCCATCTCCAGCTACAAATCTATCCGTAAAACTGGCTCTTGAAGCAAGGATTCCAGGTTACCAAACGGCCGCCCCTTGCCATTACTGCTCTCCTCGTGGCAGCGGAAAAAATGGTGAAAATGGATGAAGGACCAAGCGTCAGAGAAAGGACGTTTTTTTTTAATAATTAAATATATCTAATATCTGATGTCCCGGTATATAGACAAACACACACATGCATATATATATATATGGATAGATAGAAAGTATCTATACAATGCACTAATGGCACAAGTGCTACTTCTCGGTTTTCTTGTTGTTGATCAATTTGGTCATCCCTTGAATATAAAAAGCCCCATGGTCTGGTCCCAAAGAGGTGGTTTCATGCCCCAGTAAACCGTGGTTGAATCATACCGTGGGTCGTCTTCCAACCACAAATTGACATGATGTGCCTGGTGGTGGGTGAAGGGATAAGAAACGCACTTCCCCAAGGCGGTGCCCCCCTAGTTTTTGGAGTCAGAAACAAACTTAGCTACTATGGGGCACCACCTTGCATGAAACCGAACATGAAACCTACAAATGGCCAGGACTCGGATAGGACAAGGAGCACCCAATTCATAACACTTTTCCAGAGGGTGCTCTGAACAGCAAGATTTGCATCCTCAAAGAATGCTTGTTTTTTTGTCCTATTGCATGGGGCCATGCTTTGGTTTCAATCCCACATGGCAAGTGGAAAATATAACTGAATCTTGAGTTCCCTGTGCTTCCCGGGATCTGAGGGAAATATCTTCAGACACCACCTACCAAGCACTATGCCACTATGCGGATCGAAACCCAACAGCAGCCTACATAGTGTACATCCTCCAACGCTTCGATGGATCCACCATCCATAAATCATCACCATGTGGGTGGTGTATTCTTTAACGTCTATCTGGTTGGTGGTCGACCTACCCCTCTGAAAAATATGAGTTGGCTGGGGTTACTATTCCCAATATATATATATAATTATATATATATGGAAAGTCATAAAATTCATGTTCCAAACCACCAGCCAGGGGATATATATATATGTATGGAAATATCATGGTATATAGTGGGAGTACCCAATTTAATATCTATGTTTATCTGTTTTCTTTCTCTTAAATCCCAATATGTTGGTCACCGTTTTCCGGAAGTCTCCTTCTTTGGGACTGCAGCTCTACTCTCCACCACGGGGGCGTTGACAGGGACGCTGATGGCCGCACTTTTGCGGTCCTGGGATCTTTTCAGCTGGGTCTGGGCCATATGGCACCCCCAAATCCACTGCTTAATCAGCATTTTACAATATTTTACCTCTATTCAAATGGTGACTTG